TTTTCGTCCGTATATTCTTCTTCTTCTCTCCTCAACCAAAAAAAGCAAACGCCTTTTCTTCTCCCCTCTCCCTGCCTTGCCTCTGCTACCCTCCAGGCTCCAAGCCTCTTCTTCTCTCCTCTCTTTCCCAGCCAAAACCAATTTCTTTTTTCTCTCTCTCTCAGCCAAACTTAATTCCCCTTCTCTCTTCGTTGTTCTTCTATAAACTCATGAACAAAGACCATTTTTCTTCTCCTTCTATCTTTCGCAGTCGCGGCTCATCTGCTCAGGGACGACGGCGACGGATGGACGGGGAAGATGAAGGATGGAGGCGACGGTGCGAGGAAGGGATCTGGATGGCGGCGAGGAACGGAGGAAGGCGGCGGCCGTGAGGGTGAGGGTCTGAGGGGATTATAGGGTTTTAGAGTGGGGTTAAGGGTTTTATATGTCGTTTTTTTTAGAGAGGGCAATATATGAGGGTTGTTCGGTTTGGGTCGATTTTTTCGGTTAACCGCGACTAATAATCGTCGGTTACTCGGTTATCCTAAACTTCTTATTCTCCTCCGAGCACCAAGCGAAGTAACTTTGGCCTCGGTTTTTAGTTAGCCAAAAACCGGTCGATTCGATTCTAACCGACGAATATTCGCTAACCGAAAACCCAACTATCAGCCCTAAACAAAACAGAATCCTACTCCTAGAGAAAGCGCATCTCCCCGCGAACCTGAGGAAAAAATCCAAAACTACCACCGTTTAAAAAAAAATTACAAAAATACCACCCACTCCAAATAATTTCCAAAAATACCATCCTTTATTTAAAACCGCGCCTCTATGTAGCGGTTTTTACTAAAACCGCGCTTCCAGGAAGCGTTTTACTTAATAACCGCACCACGGTAAAGCGTTTTTAATTTCCAGAACAAAACGCTCTTGGAAGGAGCGGTTATAGGCTAACCCTACCACAAAACGCTTCAGGAAAGAGCGTTTTTGTGTCGGCATAACAAACCGCCTACCCAAAGGGCGGTTTATAGTGTCAGGACACAAACCGCTCCTCCAAGCGGCGTTTTATAGTGCCAGGACACAAACCGCTGCCCCAAGGCGCGGTTTGTGCCTGGTCACCCGACAGCCAACATTTCGGCATGCAGGGGGTAGGGCACGTAGGGCTTCATGGCAGACCAAAACCGCTCCCCCCCTCAGCGGTTTTGGTGCAAATTTTGCCTATAAAAGGCGGTTTCAGAGAACTCAATTCTTCACACCTCCTCCTCTTCCTTCTTAAAATTTCAGCTTTAAATTATTTAGTTTTTGCGATTAACGTTTATTTGTAAGTTTGTTTCGTAATTACTTTTCATTGTCCTTTGTTATTTTATGTTAGTAACTTAATTACTTTTCATTGTCCTTTGTGATTTTATGTTAGTAACTTAATTACTTTCCATTGTCGTTTGTGATTTTATGTTAGTAACTTAATTACTTTTCATTGTAATTTGTGAATTTATGTTAGTAACTTAATTACTCTTCATTGTCCTTTGTGATTTTATGTTAGTAACTTAATTACTTTACATTGTCATTTATGATTTTATGTTAGTAACTTAATTACTTTTCATTGCAGATTTGTGATTTTATGTTAGTAACTTAATTACTTTTCATTGTCATTTGTGAATTTATGTTAGTAACTTAATTACTCTTCATTGTCATTAGTGATTTTATGTTAGTAACTTAATTACTTTCCATTGTCATTTGTGATTTTATGTTAGTAACTTAATTACTTTTCATTGCAGATGGCATTCCAAAGGTTCACGCTTGGGTTGCGGTGGAATGGTTACACGGAAGAGACCGAAAAGGGTGTAAGTTACGTCGGTGGCAATTTTTATAAAATGAAGGTCCGTACGAGACCGATGCTTGAAGAGCTCCATCAAATGTGCACTCAGATTACCTGCATGGATGGCACTAGAAGAGTTGATCGAATGGTGTATCGATATCCAAACAGACATGACGGGTCGCTGTGGCATGAGGAATTCCTCCTTACCACTCAGGAGGACGTTGATGCCATGGTCCAATTTTTGACCACCAATAAAATTAAGCAAGCGGAGATGTTCGTTTACACCGAGGTCGTCGAAGGCAGTGTAGGTCATTCTGGAGATGGCCAAACATCTGGTATCCACGGTGGGAGTGTATTATACGAAAATCATCCCCACCAGGATTTCCAAGAGTCGAGCTGGAGGCAGGAGTATCATCATGGTACTGGAGGAAGTCATCAATCCTTCCCTTCATATGAAGAAGAAGCTCAACAGGCGGATTACAACCAACAAGCAGGCTACCAGTACCCACCCGACTACAACTTCTATCAAAGCGGTGTTAGTTACCACAACTACCATTACGGAGCTAGTGAAGGTGAAGGTGCCTTTCATGCTGGTAGTCAGATGGAAGAAGAGGTCAATCCAAGTCCAGTTAGTGACCCTGAGGATGAAGAAGAGGAAGGCGAAGTTAGTGCAGACAGCGACGATCCGTTGGAGGGTGCTGATGATTCCGGCCCAGATTCAGACGCAAATGGTGATGAGGTAGCTCACGACCGTGTACCCATCAATCTCCTTCACCGCTCTCGCACTAGCATTACATAGAGATCGGTAGAGATGAGCTAAGCAAGCAGATGCCCAACTCAGGTTTCCCATGTCATCCCAATCACCAAGTATGATCTTCAACCATGAATTGCTGATTAGGTTGTTGGATTTCTTGGGGAAGAAGACTCCTCCGGTCATGCCGAGGATGTAGATACGTGCATAAATTTCTTTATCACGTTCCGAACTTTCCTCCGTGAGGGGAATGCCTCCGAACTCAGGGTTGTGCTTACGCCTGATCTCCGCTGTCAACCAAGTGATGGATACTTGGCCCTTGGACAATGGTGGATGACCATCCGCATCGTGATCTCCCTTCTTTGGCGGACACAACCCGGTGACCGTCCATATAAAATGTTGCCAACCACTCATATTGGCAACAACTTTAGGTGGTGGCGTAGAATCCACACAAACAACGTCACCATCGATGGGGAGATCGGTTAAGATGGCGATGTCCTTAAGTGTGATGGTGCACTCGCCTTCACGAAAATTGAAGCAGTGTGTCTCCTTTCGCCATCTCTCTACCATCGCCGTGATGAGTTGGCGGTCGATCTTGATCCCATTGAAATGCCGAATCGAATCCAATCTTGCCCTTTTTAGAAAGGGCAAGATTTTAGAAAGGGCAAGATGACGTCGTTCCATTCAAGCACATTCGTTGTGCCCCTATAGCGGACTATATGGTATGCATCCTAGAAAAAATTTTAAATTTCATTATAAGTTGAAGATTTATACATATATAAATATATTATAAGATACAATTTATATATAAATCAAGGTTGTTTTAGAAAAATATACATTATCTAATAAACATTTATTTTAACATAACTACATAATTTTCTAAGATGCAATATTAATTAAATGAAGGTTGTTTTAGAGAAATATACATTATCTAATTAAATATTAATTTTAACATAACTAAATAATATTATAAGATGCAATATTAATTAAATCAAGGTTCATTTAGAGAAATATACATTATATAATAAACATTAATATTAGCATAAATAAATAATATTAAAAGATGCAAATATTAATATACATTATCTAATAAATATTAATATTAACATAACTAAAGTAATATTCGAAATTTAAGTATAAATATTTTTGGTACACATAAAATCAAATATATTATTTTGTTAATCGTATTGATTATTTTCAATAATTTAAAGCAATATAAGTACACTCGTAAGACTCTTAGGAGAGGTATACATCTCCTTAGAAACACAGTCTTTTTGACAGAAAAAGGGGGGATCCGAGGATCGCTTAGAACCCGATTTTCCCAGGTCATGGGGGGATCATGATGATCGCTTAAGTCCCCATTTCCTTAGACATGCATTTCTTTATAACAGAGTCTCAATAAGTGTTGTATTGTATTGATTTAAATTATTGAAAATAATCAATATGATTAACAATTAAGTAAATTATTGTACAACAAATAAATTACTTTAACAAAATACAAATTACAAGTGATGATAAATAATATGTACCTTGTGGTCGTTCCAAACGTCTCTTGAACGATGATTTGCTTGATCGTATAAAACTGTCGGATCAATCGGTCCTTGATCAACATAATATCGTTGATTGAAAGTATCAACATTCGGCCCAACCTACGATAGCATAACAATAACATAAATCATTAGTATATAAATTAAATAAATCATTATAACAACAACAACAATTGGGAAAAATGAGTACGTACCGTTTGATAATCATCATAAAAAAGACCCTCTTCTTGAGCGAAATCGGCCGTTCTCTCGGAATCCGGACAGAGGTTCGACGGGTTTTTAGTGAAAACCAAAGAAAACGTATTTTGGAGGCAGATCAGACTTAGCCGCAACCAACAAAAAAACTAATTCTAAGGTTGGGTGGGAAGGGGTTGGGTGAGAAGTTAGAGGGAGAGAGGTGGATGGTGTGCAGAAAAAAGAAGAAGGGGGGGGGGGGGGGGGGGGTTAATTTCTCGCCACCACAAACCGTGCCCCCAGCACGCGGTTTTAGTTTCCCGATGGTCAAACCGCGCATCAGACACGCGATTTCATTTTCCCAACGGTCAAACCGCGCCTCGGGCAGGCGGTTTTTGTGGACGACACGGACTGCTGACTTGGCACACGTTTTATCCGTCTAAACGCTTCTCCGATTGGCGGTTTGATGCACCGCCACGTGGCAACACGGTTTGACAGCCATGCAAGGTCAAACCGCGCCTTGGGGGCGCGTTTTTCCCTTTAACCGCCGCCTGGATTAGCGGTTTTATATCAAACCGCTCATTAAATGAGCGGTTTTAAATAAATGATGGTATTTTTGGAAATTATTTGGTCTATGTGGTATTTTTGCAATTTTTTTTTTTAAACAGTGGTAGTTTTGAATTTTTTCCCGAACCTGACGCGTAAGGTAAATCGAAAAACAAAATCAAAGCCCTAACCTCTCACTGTTAGTTACCCAAACCCTAAAACGACAAACAAACCCTAAAAAACAAGAGACGGCGGCCGGCACCGTGACCTTGATGATAAAGAAGGTCCATCGCGGCAGAGGGAGGCCCCGGAAGAATCCCCTTCCCGACTCCCTCGGTATCAACATCATCATCACCAAAAAGCAGCCTCCACCCGCCTCCAAATTCGATCCTCGTTCGTCGCCGCTGCTGCGGTGGCACAACAAGAGATCGAGGACCCCTGCCGTCGCCATCGATGGAAGAAGGACGACACCTTCTTCTTCTTCTTCTTCCAATCCTCCTCCTCTGCTTCGCTCTCCGATGACGGCGTTTTGGGGTCCCAGTGCCTGACGGACTTCAACATTCCGGGGGGCCGATTCCAGATCTGATCGATTTGATGAGTGACGTGAGCATGTGTCAGGATTTCCTTAAGGATACGGAAGATCTTGATTTCAGTTAAGGCTCTTCGTCGTCGTGCTCTGTATGTATGCGTTTTGAATTTTTGTAGAGAGAGAAGGACAGATAGAGAGAGATATTTTTGTAAATTCCGACGGCCGGCGAAGAGAGTACAGGGAATCCGTACATAACCCCATTCATGATAGATTTTGTTAAGATATCAAAATCGAATTGACTTGGAAGAACCCTAGAAAGAAAAGATTTTATTCTTTGAATGTGGATTATTTAATATCATGACCTCAACCATTCCTTTATGCGTGATGTGATTCAACGGAATTAATCTCATTCATATGCAGACCCCGTTCAACCAACTTAGCGAAACCCTGGAGTCAAGGTTTTAGTGCTTCTCACACGATTTGTAATTAGTTAGGGATAACAATTTCTTTTAGGAATCACCGGCTCAAGATAAGGTGAGTAACCTTAGGGATACGGAAGATCTTGATTTCAGTTAAGGCTCTTCGTCGTCGTGCTCTGTATGTATGCGTTTTGAATTTTTGTAGAGAGAGAAGGACAGATAGAGAGAGATATTTTTGTAAATTCCTACGGCCGGCGAAGAGAGTACAGGGAATCCGTACATAACCCCATTCATGATAGATTTTGTTAAGATATCAAAATCGAATTGACTTGGAAGAACCCTAGAAAGAAAAGATTTTATTCTTTGAATGTGGATTATTTAATATCATGACCTCAACCATTCCTTTATGCGTGATGTGATTCAACGGAATTAATCTCATTCATATGCAGACCCCGTTCAACCAACTTAGCGAAACCCTGGAGTCAAGGTTTTAGTGCTTCTCACACGATTTGTAATTAGTTAGGGATAACAATTTCTTTTAGGAATCACCGGCTCAAGATAAGGTGAGTAACCTTAGGGATACGGAAGATCTTGATTTCAGTTAAGGCTCTTCGTCGTCGTGCTCTGTATGCATGCGTTTTGAATTTTTGTAGAGAGAGAAGGACAGATAGAGAGAGATATTTTTGTAAATTCCTACGGCCGGCGAAGAGAGTACAGGGAATCCGTACATAACCCCATTCATGATAGATTTTGTTAAGATATCAAAATCGAATTGACTTGGAAGAACCCTAGAAAGAAAAGATTTTATTCTTTGAATGTGGATTATTTAATATCATGACCTCAACCATTCCTTTATGCGTGATGTGATTCAACGGAATTAATCTCATTCATATGCAGACCCCGTTCAACCAACTTAGCGAAACCCTGGAGTCAAGGTTTTAGTGCTTCTCACACGATTTGTAATTAGTTAGGGATAACAATTTCTTTTAGGAATCACCGGCTCAAGATAAGGTGAGTAACCTTAGGGTGAGTAATAATGAGTAACCAAATCTGGACCCTTCTTTTAAGTGGCTGCAGATCTAAGGGTGGAGAATTAAAGGAATTTATTTTCCCTAGTTTTCTTAATTGGATCATATCTTCTTCATTCTAACTCGGATTTCAATTTTTTTTGCACAGATGGAACGAGTTCGTTGTGCTCTACAAAATGATATCCATTTTCAATATTTTTTTAGAAATTTTTTTTTCATCCCTCTCGTTACCAACTGCATATCATATGGTATCTCCTTCGTTGTTTAGTCCTTTTCGAAATTTTTTGCACAAAAGGAACGATTTAATCATGATCTATTGGATTTCAAAATTTTTTGGGGGAAAAATTCCATACCTCTCGTTACCAACTCCATACCATACTATACCACCCTGGTATGAGGTGGTATTTTTCATACCATATGGTATGTTGTTATTTAATACCAGTCAATACCATATGGTATTGAATTGTAATAACTGGCAAATTTTTTTGTTCCAAAAAATATCAAAGTGAATATCATTTTGAATCGTTACCAACTCCATACCATACTATACCACCCTGGTATGAGGTGATATTTTTCATACCATATGGTATGCTGTTATTTAATACCAGTCAATACCATATAGTATTGACTATACCATATGGTATTGACTGGTATAACTGGAAAAAAAAATTTGTTCCAAAAAATATCAAAGTAGATATCATTTTGAAGAGCATAATTAATCTGATCTAACTATGCAAAAAAATTAAATTCGGAGTTAAAACGAATGAGAAATCGTCCGTTAAAGATTAAGGGAAAGTAAATTAATGATTTTTCCTGAAGAGAGAAGGAGGCGCTGATGTGGCAGATTCTTATTGGGTTATGCATGAGGTTACTCACCATAAGGTTAATCACCGGATCTGCTCCCGGAATCACCAATATACCATCAAACTCAACATAGGCAAGAAATAAACAACTACCGACCCATAAATTTTATATGGGTGTCATTTTTAAAAAATTATATTAATAATTAAATAAAAATAATTCTTAAATAAGAAAATATTTAATTAGTACAAGGGGTCATTCTCCGTGAGCTGCACGCGTTGAGGCAGGATTAGGGGTGGACAACCGGTTCGGTAAACCCGAACTGAACCGAAATCGAATTAAACTGAACCAAAACCGAATTAATGCTATTCGGTCCGAAATCGGAAAGAAAACCGAAATACTGTAATTGCAAAATGGTGGATTTTTATGTTTGTAGTTGTTTTTAGACTTAAATATTTGAAATGTTTTATGATTTATGTGTTGAAAAGTTTGATTTTATTGTGTGATGATGCATATATTTGCATATTTATTGTTTATATTAGGGGTGAAAAATAATTAAAAGTGAGAAGATACAAGTAGCTTCACAATTCGGTTTTGTATGAAAAACTGAACCGAACCGAATTATAATTCGGTTTGAGGTTTGGGAGAATTCGGGGACCCGGTATTCATAATTTCTGTTTGGTCGAAACCGAACCGATCGAATACCCACCCATAGGCAGGAGTATCCACGGGTGGTGGTACAGTTCGTTGGAAGAAAACATAATAGAGTAGCCCATTTAGTGCAAGAAAAGCTCTCATGTAGTCGTCTAGTGATATACTTGGTTATGATTTTTGCGATTGGCTTCATATGGAGTTGTAATCGTTTGATCTATTTTTCTTGGTAATGCAAGCTGTCTTTGGACCAAACCAAACTGGATCAAATAGATGAATATAATGCTAGTCCGGTTCTCGATCCTCAAATATCTTTTACTATTTGACTGCGGTTTCTCATGAATTTGGTTCAATCCGAACCTGCGCCGGTGCACACCCTAAATTCAACGTTTATAGTTTATCAAATTTGAGGTCGTCAAAGTTGTGAGGATTTTATGCATATTATATAGCAAGAAAGACCGAGAATTACTCTCTTGGAGTTGAAGCAAACAATAGTTTCCTATGCATGCCTCGGAAGACCTGTTTCTTAATTATAATGTTTTGATTAATGGGCTAATTTGTCTCGGTAATCTCTGAACTTTTGGACCAACCCAGATCAGAGCATTGTTAATTAGGCATGAGCTACAAAAAGAACATGTGTCCCAATTCCCTAAATCATCTGGTATGCTGCCCGGCGACGAACAAAGCGCTTCCGCCTTTGACTTCCAACTTTCATCTACTTCACGTAAGGGGAAAAAAGTCACATGCAAGTTGCAACTATAGGGTCGGGAAGTGGTGCGATCCGGTTTAAACGAGACAAAATATGTTTCATTGATATTGGTTCAATCTTTGGTTGAGTAAGCTATTGAGATGAACTGGAAACAGGGAATTATGCCGTGTTCGCTCTCATTAGCATGCTATATTATTTCATATCTAATTGTCTAAGAATGTTATAGTCAGCGATAAAATATTTTTGAAATTGTGGTTTAAATGTAGTCCAATCATTTCATACTACTAAAAATCCACTTACTGGTTTAGATTCTGACCGATAGGAAATTTTTCCGGTCGATCATCAATTACAGTTTCACGAACGAACAGTATTACATAGATTTTGGGTTAGTTGAATTTACTAATCTACTAAAAATTCAATGGGTATATTTAAGGAAAAACCATTAGTAGGTTTTGCAAAAAGTTGACTTAACGCAACTAGATCGTAGTATTATGGTATCGAGAACAAAAAATAGGAGGAATATTTTGTCTTAGCAATTATTTATTTCTTTCTTATTTTTCGAAACTAGACATCAATATTGGCTTTGCACCAGAGTCTCTTCAAACAAATATTGAGAATCATAACGAATTATACTAAATATATTTGTTGTGTATTTCTAAATTAAAAACATATATAATAATACAAAGCTAAATTCTAAAATTTAGAGGACATTTTCACCATGGTTAGCTAGCCCACTATGTCTTCCGTAAGTAGTTACTTGGTGTTGGATACTTTGATTTTCGTATTTTCATTGGATTTTCATACTTAAATTTAAATAGTTATATATCTCATAAATGGAGGATAATTTTAAAAGCACAACTCATATAGATTTGTTTGAATATTGCATATTGAATTGGAGTATTCAATATGTAGAAGTGACGTAGAATTCTTAAATAAGTATTAATTTCCAACCCAGTCAACCACTAGCCTTAAACCTCTTTGTTAAAATGACACGATTGATCCAACAATCATGTGACGACATTGAGTTTAATATGTTGGTTAAAACCCTTTTTTTATGTGTTAATGAATTTTTATGTCAAAGACATATGTAAATGAGTGAAGATGAACCTGATTATTCATTTTGATTCTTTTAGATAAATATGGTTTAAGACTTGAACTAATTATACACTCACTTTATTGGTTGAATGAGTTTTGTTTCTTATTTTTATTTTTAGTAATTAATTTATTCATAATATTTGTGATGTTTGAAATCTTTTATATGTGATTTAGAATTGTTTAATCTCGTTTGACTGGTTCGACAATTTTTTTAGGAATAGAAGCCACTACGGTCAATCTCAACCTGCGATGATTCGAGATGGTTTGGATTAGAGGGAGAGTAGGTGAATGGGTTGGTATTAGGTAATTAGTTATGATAGTTAAAGAAGAGAAAATATCAAGAAAGATATAAGGAAAATAGGAAGAGAGAGAAAGAGGAGTCCAGGTGTAGAAGTCTGGTTGGGGCTCGGATATTGAATGATTTCAGGATGATTGTTCGGGGAAAATGTGTACTAATATTTGCCCTCACTATAGACATTGACACTATTTATACTAGGCAAATAAGGTTAAACATCAAGAATGCTAAGTACAGGCACATCGAGTCATATGTTTCGGCGCTCTGAGTGCATTCAATAATGGTTCAGGCGCATGTCTGTTTATTGCACTCATATCAACAATCCCAAAAAATGGTTGCATATCATATCAACAATCCTCAATAATTTCACAAATGGTAAGATTAACTAAAGCATTACCAAACACTCTTGCCGGAAGTTGTTGCCCACATAATAAATTTTATGTGTTTCCCTTCTTTACTTTTCCCCCATTGGCAAAGAAACTACGTGTGACAAGTTGTTCCAACAACCCCCTATGATCATAAATTCTTTTCAAACAAATAAAACTAATAGCAAATCGAGTAGCTCCTAAATACACAATATGATTCCAACCCTCTAACTTGTTTAATTTAAAAAAGATAAAGAGAGGAAGATGACTATAGAGTATAGACAACACACTAATCTTATGAGCTCGAGAGACTAAACTTCAAACATGTTTCATTATGTAAGTATCTATCAACAGAAGATTGAGAACAAAACAAGTGGCATACATGGAGACCAACAAATTGTGTTATACTACTCGTGAATTGGAGCCGACAAAATAGATGGATGAAAAAATTAAAAAAAATTGTTTGAGGCTTTTAGGGTCATGTTCGATTTTTTGGGGAGGGGAGTTTCTGCTAGGAAACAAATAGAGATTTTGGGGGGGGGGGGGGGGGGGGGGGGGGGGCTCAACTGCTCATTGTGCCTCGTTTTTCAAATAGAGTTTGGATGAGGGTCGCCAAACAGGACAACAATCTGTCTAAGAGTCGAAAACCATTCAATCGAGTCAAATCACCAATTTTTGCAATTTTAACCTACTACCGATTATGAGCCAAACTTGCTTCTCCCATATGGCAATAATCAGCCTTAGATAAATGTTGGCCCCTTTTTCATTATCCATAACAGTGTTCTTAATACTATTCTTAATCCCAACCGTACCATTCCATCAAAAGCATACCGAATAATGGTTACATATCATAATCAACAACCCTCAATAATTTCACAATTGGTAATGTCAACATAAGCATTACCAAACACTATTGTAGGAAGTTGTTATCCAACATAATAGATTTGATGTGTTTCCCTTCTTTACTTTTCCCCAACTTGTGAGATGCAAAGTAACTACTTGTGACAAATTGTTCCAACAATTACCTATGAGCTACGATCATAAAGCAAATAAAACTAGTAGGAAATATAGTAGCTCCTCAAGGCAAAATATACTTCCAACCCTTAACTTCATTAAAAGAGAAAGGAGAGGAAGATGGATATAGATAAACACACTAATCTTACAAGCTCAAGAGACTAAGCTTGAAACAAGTTTCATTTTGTAATTGACTTTCAACAAAAAGAGTGACAAAATGTGACATACATGGAGAATTGGAGACCAAAGTATCGAATTATACTTCTCATGAATTGGATCCGAAAGAGTAGATGGATGCAGAAATAAAAAATTCTGGGAGGGGGGAGTTGCTTCCGGGAACGGACAGAGATGGTCGGCTCTCGGCTCTCGATTGCTCATTATTCCTTGTTTTCTAGAAAGGGTTTGGGTTAGGGCTGCCAAATGCGATAACATTATGTCTAAGAACCGGGAACCGGTCTATCCGATTAGAGTACCAATTTTCACGAGTTTAATCGGCCATCGACTATCAGTCAAACCAGCTTGCTGGTAAGGGTGGGTATTTAGTCGATTCGGTCAAGAACCGGATCGAATTGAGATAGGACCAAACCAAAAATAAAGAAAAAATTGAGGACTGAAATTGAACCAAAAGCATGTTTGGTTCATTTCGGTCCGGTCCAAATTTCAATTTTGATATATGTTTCTGTTCATACTTAAATAATTCATGGGGACCAAGGCCGAATCGAAATATATTCGATCCGATATGATTGTGTACGATTCGGTCCAGTGTGAACCGGATGGTTAACCACCCGTAATTGCTGGGACTTGTTTCCAGGACTGGTTCGGTCAGATTGCAGACCAATCAGACCCCGACACGCCACCACCTAACCTTCCTTTCCTTCTCCGGCATCTCTCTCTTCTCTTTCACAGCCCCAGCACTGCAGGTAGCAGCAACAGGTCGGCCGGCCGGCCCCGCCTTCTCACAACACCACACTTCACCCAAAAAACACCAACGAAGCCGAAGCAGCAGCCCAGCCCAGCTCATCTGTTCTATTTTAATATTTCTCCTCTCGATTTTTGCCATTTCCTTTTCTTCTTCATCACCACCTTTTCCCACTTTACTCAACTGTCAGTACACTCTCTCCTCTCCTCTCCTCGACCTTGGCATAGTAAGACCCGAATCTCCAAAATCCCATCCCTTCTCTCTCTCTCTCTTCGCTGGTCCCTCTCTTTCTGTTGCTTCTTTTGATGGCTTTCCCACTCCCACCGCCAGACAGTAGCTCTCTGCAGCTCACGCCTCACTCTCCCGCCAAGGCGCAAACTGTTCCAGCCTTCTTCTTCTTCTTCTTCTTCTTCACTCAAACAGAGCATCAACGGCTCTCCACACCAGACAGACATCCGAATAATGATCAACTACTGAATAGAAAGCAAGCAAGCAGTATTGAGCACAGAAGTAGCAGTGTCTCACATTTCTGTTTCCCCTTGCATTCCCCCCCGGCTGTCGTTTTGTTTGCAGCAGCACAGCACTGCATTCGTCGTTTTGCATGCCTTTCTCTCCGTCTCGTCACTTTCACAGCTTTCTTCGTACTAAAACCTCTCTCTCCCTTTCTCCCTTTTCTTGGATACTTGCCCTTTTCAAGCAACAGCCTTACCTGGCATTACATTTACCCCTTCACCTGGATTTATCAACTTTAATCACTCTTGTGCGAAATTCGGCAAATATTCGCCTCCCCTCCCTCCCACCCAGATGCTTCTTTCTTCCTTTCTTCTCCCCCTACGTACAATCATGCCACTGCTCTACTTCATTTGATCCTCTTCAAAGGGTCGATTGAAAAAGTGGAACCTGCAGAAAGGAAACAGAGAGAAACAGGGTACTCTGTTTTTTTTATGGCGATGGAACAAGGGATGGAGCAACACACTTCCAACGCCGTCGCCTCCAACTGCCTCACCGTTGCCGACAAACGGCCTCACCGTCCCGGCGGATGTGTCGGCATTTTCTTCCAGCTCTTCGATTGGAACCGTCGGTTGGCCAAGAAGAAGCTCTTCTCCACCAAACTTCTTCCTCCAGGTCCACACCCTCTCTCTTCTCTGCCTCTCCAGTTCCAACTACTCGTCTCACTCCTAGTTAGTTTGACTGAACAATGCTGCTTCCTTTTTTTTTCACAGCTCGAATGAAGTTTGCAGGGGATGAAACGATGCCCAAGACCAAGCCTCATCTGGTAATGCTTGCTACTACATTTAATACTCACAAGTTTCAGAGATCCTTTTTTTTTTTTTGTCGTTTCCTTCTTCTAAAACCCTTGTGTGGGCTGAAACTTGCAGATTGCAGATGAGAACAGCGGCGGTTTCCTAGCAAATGCCAAGAAAAATAGCAGCAATCGAAGCCTCGCGGAGTTTCAGAAGCAAGAAATGCGGTCTCCAAGTTTGGTTGCTAGGCTCATGGGGCTCGACTCCATGCCTGCTGTGCAGCGAGACAAGCACAAGAAACCTTCAAAGTCTGGTACTTACTCTGGGTCTGATCCTATAGCTGATTTGAGCTCGGATAAGGTAAGCACAAAGCTTGAATCTAGGCCTCCAAAGCTTCAAAAGACTGGACAGTGCGACCAAAGAGCAGTAGCAACTCCTAGGTTCGGAGCCGAAGCTTTGCATATAAGGAGTGTTCTGTCAAGGTCTAGGAAACATGGTAACCCTCCTGCCAAACTTGCTACCCCAGCAAAAAGCCCCAAGCTTTCGTCCGGACGCCATGCATCCAGGACATCTAGGTTGATTGATGCAGCTACAAGAATTTTGGAGCCTGGGATACAAGCTACGAATAGAGCCAAGTCCACCATTGCTTACTCGAATTCGAAACGTTATGCTCCCAACGACGACGCTTTAGGAGGGATTTTTGGACAGTCGGTGAAAGAAGTGCAGAAGAGTAGTAGTGTCACTTCTTGCAAGAATTGTGGCAATGTGGTTGATGTGGTGGTGGAATCCAGGATGGAGGAAGAGCCGTTTCATTATCGCGCAACATCACTCGCGTCTCATTTCGCTACCCCTTATACCGATCAGGGGAGAGATGTAGCCTGCAAGAGGAAACAAGGGCAGCAAATAAGTAGTGATGCGGAAATGCTGGACAAAGGGAGAGCATATAGCAGTAGTAGTGAAGTGGTTGTGGATAGGAAAGACATGTCACATGAGTTTGGAGCTAAGGGGCAATCAAAGGGATTCCAAAATGGCTACAACCATCGAACCGATGATGAGACATCTGCTGCTGTGGCTTTCAAGCAGAGAAGCCAAGGTCAGAACAGAATGCCTGTAGTAGGGAGCGAAAGATTAACGCAAGGTTCCAAGTTGAGTTCCTTTAGTGGGACTAAAGATTTTGTTGCTATGAACAGAAGTTTAAGTGGCCGATCCAGGGTTCGGGTATCGAATAGGATGGATAACCCAACCTTCAACATGGAGAGGAGATTCTGTAACAGAAGAGATGATGTCTTGCCACAGTTAAGGAGTCCAGGGGTTAAGAGGAAGACAGTGAGTGCTAGAGCACAACTTCAAAGTAATGGGCATGGTACTTCAATTCCTCCTGTAAGACAAAGGAGCATCAATTTTGACGCTGTCAATGAGAAGAAGATAGGGTTAAACCCTTTCCGTGCGAAAACCAGATTTGATAGTCGAAGTGAAAGCAGCATACCCAATAAGGGCAACAACGATCTTGCTTCTTTTACATTTAGTAGCCAATCAAGGGTAAGAACTGGTTATGACAGCAGGAACCCGATGGGGGAAAACAGTTCAAACCGAAGGAACATGGCCATGGATGAAAGTGAAGGGAAAGGATGTGTGCAAAAGCAAGTATCGCCGAGAAGAGATGCATTAGACTCCCTTCTGCAGCAAAAGCTGAAAGAACTGATCTCACAAGAAGAGGATGAGTTGAAAGGTGGCAATGCACTCCCCATTAGATCCACTGCCATGATTCTCCAGGAGTTGATATCTGCTTTGACAATAGAAAATGTGATTCCCACTTCTCCACCAAGTAGTTTTTCCATTGCCAATACACCTTTCCAGGTCTGTTTTTGTTCTCTAGCCCTTCCTCTTTTCTGGACTACTTCTCCTGCTAGTATTCATTCCTACAATTTTGTGATGAACTTGGAACCTTATTAATTGGCAATGTATATACTTGAGAGAGCCGAGTATGCTACAGTCTACCCCGTTTGTCGTATATAGCGTTTCTTCTTTACTACTTGCATCTTCTTTCCATGATGTCATCATCAGCAGCCTTCCATATCTTCCCTTTTCAATGTTACCTCTAAAGTGCTCATTGACCAATCCAACTGTTCTCTCATTGCTCCTTTTTCAGAATGGAAAACATTATCTGAGTCCTGGATCTGTTCTTGATGCTAGCTTCTCAAATGAGAGCTGCTTCTCCAGCAGTCTAGATGACAACTCAGGTATCAACACTGAAACACCTAGTCTTACCAAGTTTCAATGTTTCTATGATCAGAAAACTGAACACCCATTTTCTGAAACAATGCACAGCTTCCTCGATGCTTACTTGGGATTCTACTACAACCTCTACCACCGAAGGCAGGAGATTTTCGAAGCTGGTGACAGATCTCCATGACCACATCTCTAGAATGTTGCAGAGCATAACTCTAGCTGGTGGGTGCCAGTTAACTAGCAGGGACCTTGGCCATGCAAAGGAGACTATCTTGACTGCTGAGCTCTTGTTCGGAGCAGCAAATCACCATGGTCCTGATAGAACGAGGAGTTCAGTTTTGGGATCTTTCCTTCTCGACGAGCTCAGTGCTGTTGCAGTTTCCATGGGTAGCACAGAGGGCAGCAAAGAGGCCAGTAATCAACTCAGGAGGCTACTGTTCGACTGTGTGATAGAATGGTTAGATTCGACACGCAGCAGGTATTGTGATACAGGGTTCAGAACATGGAGGCAGCAGCAGCTGCTGGTGCCATGGTGCAAGGAGACGGTGTTGGAAGAGGTTGGAGAGGAGGTGAAGAGGTGGACGAACATGGCCGGGTTGATACCAGACGAGATGGTGGAGTTGGAGATGGGACCATCATTAGCGAAATGGACCGAATTCGAGGTTGAATCTTATGAAATTGGTGGCGACATTGGCTGCGAGATAGTCGACGTTTTATTGGAAGAAACCATGAGAGACTTGTGGGAACTCTAGCAAAAAGGAGGCAGGAAGTTTGCTGCCATGGCAATAGTAAACCTTAACCCAGTTAGTTCATGATGATATATGTGTAAAGAAATGGCGGTTTGGTTAGTTAGATGGTTGTAGCTGTATCATCTTCTTCTGTTATGTGTTGAGATAATGGCAAAAAGCGCTTGGACTTGGTTCGGATCTGGTAAATGTTTAGGGAGAGCCGAGTCTTTCCTTCCTCAGTTTTTGGGAAGTTTATTGGTGAGGTTAGCAGCCATGAACTTGTCGAGTAAGAACTAGTCGAATATAACTCAATTGTGAACCTTTTATAATAATAATCGGCTAAAGAATTTGTATCATGACAATTTGGATTCTATAAAGACGGACATTGAATCATGAAATGTGTTTATATTACAGGGAACTGAAACTCTCAAGTGTTAGTAATAGAAAGGTTTCGCAATTGCCTACAGCAATGAAATGAACCAAAGAACACCAACCATAACCACAGGCCACACAAGCCATGGCAGAAGGGCAAAAAGAAGAACAAGAACTCGCGACGGCAGTAAGAATCGTAATTCGAGAAGGAGAAGAAGAAACCCACACTTCTTTAGAAGTGGTGCCGGTATCCAAGTACGGTCTTTCCATTTCCTCTCCCACCATTTCCCCTGCTGCTACTGGTCAACCCTCCCACTCTGTTTTCCCCATTCATGATCGAATTCGACGCCGCCGCCGACAATCCCTTCAATTCCTCCACACTCGCATAGCTCTTTCTCGCCATCAACCCACTGCCACCGCCGTTCCCAACCCCTCTCCTCTTCTCCCCCGACCCAACAGACTTGCTCCCTGTCGAAGACAACACACCCTGCATCTTCGAACCGCTCTTGCACGGCGACGGAGTCAGGTGTCCCGCCATGGCCGGTGAAGGCGGAGGCTTCCTGTTCTCCTTCCTCAGCGCCGCCGAGAAATCCGGCACCGACTGAGCCACCATCGACGCGCCGTACCCGGAAGCCCTTCTCGAAACAGGGGATGGGAGCGGGTGGAGTTGGTGTTTGAATTTGACCTGTTTCTTCAGCGGCGGAGTAGTCTGCTGCCTCCAGGACTCCGTCTCCGACTCGGGTAATCGGGAAAACGCCGTCCCCATCGCCGCCGTGGTGGTCTTGGTACGGAGCTTGGATTCCCTGAGCTGGGCATAGGCCGTGTAGCGAGGCCCCCGCTCCATGGCGTAGGTCTCAACCGTGAGCTTGAGAGAGATGGGTTCGGAGGAATTTTGGGAGAGAATGAGGGAGATTGGATCGAGGAGGCTGAAGACGGCGGTGGACTGGAAGGTTGGGTTCTGGTGTTGCAGAGCGCCGCTGATCGATGCCATGATTCTCCTTCCTCCGATTTTCCTTTCCTTTGCTTTCACCTATATGGGTGTTTTTTTTATGGAATGGAGGGAGGATCTGAGAAATGACGGATTGAACGATCGATTGGCGGAGGCTACTCTGTCTCTCTGCTCTGGTTTTGGGGTTTGGGGGATTTTGTAAGTTCGGCGGCAGAGTTGTGTCACAGAGGCAGGGGATTCTTTTCTTTCTTTATTTTGATTTCATTTTTTGGTGTGGCCTTTCCCTCCAACGGTCCAATTAAAGCAAACTCCTTTTCTCTATGAGTTCGGAATCTTCTATCTTACTATCCATTTGCCCTCTTCCTTAGGAGAGCGGATCCCATGACTAAGGGAGTCCTTAGTCACTTGACTAAGCCCCTCCTAGCCATTAAATTTGGACACTTTAATTTAATGGTTAAAAAGTGGGAATGACTATTTAATTAATGACAGGGGTAGTTTGGGTATTATGGAAAATTACAAAGTATACAAACTGGATTTACAATCAGTACAAACCATACAAACATACGAACAGTACAAACTAGAGCGACAAAACATACAAACATTACAAACGTATGAACTGTACAAACAATACAAACTAGACCGACAAACAATACAAACCATACAAAAAGAAAAAACACCCGGGTTGACTTTGGAGGCTCCATCCCTATATAGAGGGGCTCCTTCCCAAAGTCAACACGGGTGTTTTTTAGACATACAAACAGTACGAACATGGTGGACAAAAATGACAAACTATACCGACAATCCATACGAACTGAAAAAACACTCGAGTTGACTTTGGAGGCTCCATCCCTATATAGAGGGGCTCCTTCCCAAAGTCAACCCGGGTGTTTTTTATACATAAAAAACATTACAAACATGGTTGACAAAAATGATAAACACGGTACACAAAAATAACAAAGTTTACAAACATTACAAAAAAAAAACCCGACAAACATTACAAAATAACAAAACGTACAAACATTACAAAATAAACCCACAAACAATACAAAGCATACTAACAGTACAAAATCTCTCTCTCTCTCTCTCTCTCTCTCTCTCTCTCTCTCTCTCTCTTCTCGGAATAATGGCGCCCAGGGGATGGGAATAATGGCGGCGCCCATTCTTTTAAATTTCCGGAGGCGGCGCGCGGGGAGGCTGCCCGCAGGGAGGAAGCAATTTTTTTTATTTCTTTTATAATTAAAAATTAAAAATAAATATGGAATTACTACATTACCCTTCATTAAATTGGACTAATAGGAGCCCTTGGATTTTAATGAGGTAGAGTGGCTGAGATTCACTTAGTCATGTGACTAAGGGGACCCCCCTTAGTCACCTGATCCTAGCCCCTTCCTTAGGAATGGCAATGGGTCGGGTTGGGGCGGGTTTTGTCAAACCCAAATTCAAACCCATGGGTTTATCCGCCAAAAAACCCGGGGTAAAACCCGTTGGGTTTGAAAAACTCAAATCCAACCCAACCAGCTGGGTATCCGCGAGTTCATGGGTACCTGTGGGTTTTTGTGGTAAAAATTTACAATAACAAGTTTCTTTCAAAATAAAAGTTTAACATCAATTTTCTCATACAAATTAATCATACAAAAAACACCAATCTAGAGTATACAAACAAACCGCAAATGATCAATACAAATTGTTCAAAATTAAAGATAAACATATATAAACAATAAGATTAATTGAAAACTTCTTCCTCATCAACTAAGTTTCTTCACTCTCTACTTCATAATATCAACTTCATTCTAAACAATTAGAAAGAACAAATTATATATGCCTCCACAAACATATAGAATATTACTTGTTTAAGGAAGATATATTATTTAGAATATTAAATATACCGGAAAAGTAATTATATGTGTGTGGGCGGGTACCCATGGGGCGGATTTACCTAAACCCAAACCCGACCCGGTGAATAGTGTAGCGGGTTTAAACCCGAACTCGGCCCAAAACCCGTCAACACGGGTTTTACCCGCGTTGACCGGGTTGGATCGGAAGGGTACCCGTGGGTTCGGGTTTTGTTGCCATCCCTACTCTTCCTTCAAACGTTAATTTGGAGGATTCGATGAAGTAGGACCAGATAGTGCCCTATATCAAATGTTAATTTATAGGTAACATGCTAAATTAACATTTGATGGAATAGGGCAATGCTAATTATGAATAGTAGTAGTTTAATGTGAAATGTAGTTGGCGTTTGAATTTTACCTTTACAATTACAAAAATAATGATTACAATGTTTAAAACAATTGATTATAATTATGATTGCGTCGGAGTTTTAATTTTACAACTGAAAAAAAAGAAACGACTATACAAATTGATTGTACTACTACAACTCATCATTATTACGATGTTAACTCTCTTAATTAGCAAGCTAACCGATCCCGGAAGTGGGTCTATGATCTGAATCAAAATTAAATTTGGTATAATTTCATTTCGGTCACTATTGTAATTTAGGTTTCAAATTATAATGAACCATTTGGGGATTATGTTTGTGATCTGTTTAAATTATATTTAAAGAAGGCAAAGTATCTTAATTGTACTTTGAGTTTGTAAAATTCAATGAAAACTATATGGTCATTTAAAAAATACTTTCAACTATATATCGACATTCTTCTTCGCCTTCATCGAACCTCTTTTTTTTTTTTGGTAAATTTTAATGTGCTAAGAAATTTTCTTGTCTTTGTAGCCTTTTACACTTAATACTTTCTTAGTCTATGTTGTGATTCAAATATAGAATATTCTGGTTGAAAATCAACAATAATATCACTAAATAAAGTATATAGTGATCGTTCCTTGGCACATATTCCGGAATTTAGAAATCTTAACCTCAATTAGGACCAATTTACTAATATTCCCTTTTTTAATTTTCCTTCGCCCTATGATGAGGGAGCAGATCCGGTGAGTAACCTTGTGGTGAGTAACCATGAGTAACCCGTCCACATCAGCATGACCTCAGCATCCTCTCTCTCTCTCTTGGAAAGCCTTTAATTTTCCCCTCTTTAATCTTTGACGGACGATTTCTCACTCATTTTAAATCGAAATTTAATTTTTTTTGTACAGTTAGATCAGATTAATTGTGCTCTTCAAAATGATATCCACTTTAATATATTTTTCGAACAAAAAAAATTGAGCCATTTTTTACCAGTCTATACCATATGGTATTGACTAGTATTGAAATAAAAGCATACCTATGGTTTGAAAAAAGTACCATGGTGGTATGAACAAACCAAGACTGTAGGATGGTTGAATACATGATAGTAGAAATATATTAATTGTCATTTACGACTTTTAACATTGTATACCACAAGATACCACCTCGTACCAGGGTGGTATTGTGTGGTATTTTTTGGTCCTGTAATTTGTTCACCCATAAATTTGTAGATCCAATAGATCATGATGAACTTGTCCCTTCTGTGCAAACATTTTCAAAAACGAATTAAAAACGAAAAAGATACCATACAATACCACCCGTACCAGGGTGGTATTGTATGGTATTGTGTGGTATTTTTTGGTCCTGTAATTTGTTCACCCAGAAATTTGTAGATCCAATATATCATGATGAACTCGTCCCTTTTGTGCAAACGTTTTCAAAAACGAATTAAAAATGAAGAAAATACCATATGGTATGCAGTTGGTACCGAGAGGCCAGAATTTTTTGTTCTAAAAAAATATTGAAAATTGATCTCATTTTGTAGAGCACGATGAACTCGTTCCACCTGTGCAAAAAAAAAATTAAAATCCGAGTTAAAACGAAAAAGATATGAGCCGATTAAGAAAGCTACAGAAAATAAAAATGATCTTTAATTCTCCATCCTTAGATCTAGATTTTCTAAATGAAGGGTCCAGATTTGGTTATTGATGGATGCATAACCCATGGTTATGCACCCTATCTTGAGCCCTATGATGATGAACTAATAGTCAAATATTGGGAAACACAAAAGGCTTAACGAAATGAATTGCACGGGGGACTGTCACGACCCGAAATGGCGGGTCGTGACAGGACCCGCGGGAAGTGAAAAATGAGGACAAGTTTGAAGGGATCAATGAAAGATGCGGATTATTATTGAATTTATTGGGGGCATCAACCAAATAAGCATCCATCTTAAAACTGATTGCAAGGTGATGGTGGATGCGATTGCTGATTGCTGGACCAAAACATAGATGGTCATGGATTGTTGCAGCGCGGATTGACAAAATTCGTGCCGCACTTTGTAGCCTTCATGACGTTCGGCTTGAGTTCGTTAGGCGTGAGCATAATGCATTGGCAGACTAGGTTGCTTGGTCTCGGGCAAAGAACCAGCTTCCATTGGATTGGGTTTCTGTCCTGAATGTATTACTACCTCTTCTGTAATCTTGGTTGGATTATTGGGTAATGCAGAGACTATTTGTCAAAAAAAAAAAAAAAAGGAATCGGTGCTCGGCTAATGCTTTCCTATGCTCCTCTATTGTACGATTATTACTCAGGTAAATTTTTATTTTCCTGAATGAATTACTTATTGTTTACATTACGCCTAAAATTAATCTCATATCACATCAATTAATTATAATGAATTTATAAGGTCAGTTCAACATTAATCATTAAATGAGTTAGTTGTGCCTTATTGAGTTGAGTTTTTGGTCCTAAGTGGGCATAAGTGGCTAAGCTCTCTTTCCCTGGCCTTGGCAACCAACCGACCCACACCTCGATAGATGATGTTGCTTGAAAACAGTGCAAGCTTGGTAGCCAGTTAAGAGAGTACCAAGCCATCAAGACATGATTTGTACCAATACATGAAATTTGACTAAGTCTGTAACAAGACAGGCTTGATAGTAGGACAACGGGGTACCAAACCGGTACCAACTAGAAAGTCATATGAAAACTAAGTCTGGATACCAATCCTGCAAGACAGGATTGGTGATTCGGGTTAGATTACATACTTTTATACCCCCTTGCCTTGCACGGTTTGTCTTGGTTTGCACCATCCTTTGAAGCTATTTTACGATAGGTTTGCTCGTGTTGTGTCATGTTTCTGACCAAGCAGGTAATCTTGGCACTAAGATCGAAAGTCGGACAAAAGAGGGTGAAAAGGAGCAAAATGGACGAAAGTACGAGGATCACGGTTTCGGTGCTATCATCACAGGCGTCAAACTGTGAAGTGGATAAGCAAACCGTGAAATCTGCACACTTACAGGAGGATTGCGTGGCTCGTGGACATTGCCAAGATCACGGTCTCCTAACCTTGAAGTCAACAAGCAACCTGTGAAGTTCGTTAGTGAAATGGTGTGTTTTGTGTCAACATCACGATTTCATTGTCGACTTCACGGGCGTGTGTTACGTGGAATAGATGATAGAAGGACTAAACTATTAAGCTACTTGGGTTCCAATCTTCTCATATCGTTAAACGAAAGAGTGACTACATATTTATAGGCATAAAACACCTCATTTCTCCTACCTAAAACATGACTACTTCTCCCACAAGGAAATAATAACCAAATCCTAGACAAGTACTTAAAAGCAATCCAAATCCTACTAAGGCTAATAAACAATAATAATATCCCAAATAATGCAAAATACATACTAAGTAATAAAACTACTAAAAATAGATGAGCCAATAAATTCCTAGATTATTATGAATGACTCGTATCATAATAGCGTGATATGAGACCGTAATATGTGCACTTGGGAGCTATATAATGGAGAGTGAGTTGAATTTGAAAGAGAGAGTTCTAGAGAGATAGTGAAGGGTTCTTCTTCAAGCATAGAGAGAGAGAAATCTCCAAGCAAGAAAGCAAGGAGGAGAAATTGACTTACCTAAGGCCATTGGTGGGGGAGATTTCTACTCCAATGATTAAATCAAACATCTAGGAAGAAGGAGTCACTTTGCTATGGATTTTTCCTCTATCTTATTTGCTATTTCTTCTAGATATGGAGTAGTCCTCCTTGTCTCTTGGATGATAGGAACCCTAGTTTGATATGTTGTAGATTGTAGGATTGTGAAATCTATTGTGAATGGGTATTGTAATTGATATATGTGATTGAGGTATTTTCATGAAATTGGATGTTCTTGATCAAATCTTCCGATTTTGGGGCAAATTGAACTAGGAAGGAGAAGATAGCCTTAGGCAATTTGGGTCAATCCTCAATTGTCGTAGAGTGCCATGATCATTTTGATTGTCTTTTGTGGGTATGAGGTACATCCCTTCGATTAGTTCGATTGAGCGGGCTAGGATCGATGCACTCGAATAAGGGGTTCGAGCTAATTTAGCGCTCCTTATGGTATATGAACACTTACCTATCACATTAGAGTGTCACGATTATATCTCAACATGAACTAGGGGGAATATCGTATGAGTGATCCTTTCTAATTTAAATTCACAAAGAATACTTAGCTTGCTTGTTTAGTTTCTTTAGTCTAGAGTAGAAAGACATGAAATTTAGCTAAGTATGGAGTCATGATCACTTGCTATCAAGGCGACAGGGTACCAAGCCGACAAGACAGCCTTATTAGTGAGATAGGCCTGGTATCAAGTTATTAAACTTCCAAAAAACTAAGTATAAAGATCAAGCTGTTAGGGGGCCAACCCAATGAGGAGGTGACAAGGTGGCCAATAGGCCGCCAAGGTACCAACTTGACGAGCTCTAAAAAAACTAAGTCTAGAGACCATCTGAGGTGGCCACCCAGATGGGGTACCAAGTCGTCATGGACAATTACTAAATTCTCAAGACTAAGTATGGATTCTCGGGGGTGGAGGCAGGTCAATCAAGGTACCAGGCCAATGAGATTAAGATGGATTTGATGGTGATTTGGTAGGGTACCAAGCCGGTAGGGTGAAAAAGTACCAACTTGATGATATTCCAAAAAAGTATGGAGACCAAGCCAACATGGTTGACTTGGTAGCAGGGGCCAACATGACTGGCTTGGTAGCAAGTGTATCTAGTCAGAGAGACGACAAGGTGTCCAGTTGATTACAAGCTGGAGAGACCTGAACCACATCCGGTCATGAAGAGGCGAGAGGCTTGACTACCAGGGCAGTTACACCGGATGGCTATAAATAGGATAAAAGAAGACTGGAAAAAGGTTCCACAACCAATTATTTGACACCCAATATCAAACTTTATCATATCTCTGCAATGTAGCTGTAGCTTTTAGTTTATGGAGCTCTCACTGAACCTCCATAAGAGTATAGTAACTCAAAGTAGCTTGTTCTCATTCATACATCAAAATATCAAACATCCTCGTTCAAACATTGTTCATAGAGGTGTTAACTTTGTTATTGTCGTTGTTGAAGAAGTCAAAGGTGCATTCATTGATTTGAAACACAAGAGTTTCCTCTCTGGAAAACTCTAAGACACCACATTCGGTGATGCTGCCATTAGGCAAATGCTAGGGCTGCCAGTCTTTAGTCCAGGTGAGACTGAGATGCTATTATGCACCAACTGATCGATGGCGTGAATTGAACAAACAACATTGTGTGTGCTAAACCAACAAACCCGCCAACTGAGCTACCCCTCTTTCGCTTATGTGAGCTGGTAATTAATTCATGGAACAAGGAAAAACTGTTGTGTAGAGAAAAGGATGGTGAAAAGATTTGATCGCCTTTCACAACAACAAAAAAAAAAGATTTGATCCCCTTTTCACGAGCGAGAAGAGGTGGTCCAAGGTTGCTCACACCCTGCGGGGATGCGAGCTGATCAATATAAGGTTCATGGAGACACAAATTATCTAGGACGTCGACAAACAGTAGACAAGGAGTTATGATAAGTGGCGGCCATCATCGAGAGGAAGGGATGCAAGGAGGGTAGCCAGGTTTAAGTAAGCAGGGCTAGAGGTGGTGCCAACTAATGCCGAGTTATGATGAGGGATTCGAGAGACCCTACAAGTTACACTAGTCACGGGAGGTAAAAAATCCAAGGGATAGAAGTAGCATCGTCGGACCAAGGTAGGCTAAGAGTCAGAATATCGAAACTTGCCTAAGAAAAGTTAACAAGCCCGCTGAGGACAAATAAGAAAATAGAACGTTCAAGGGAAGTTCTAATAAATGTTAGAGAAAGCAAGTAGACCCTTCGAGGATGAATTTCAATGGACATGATTAAGAGGACTTACGTAGCATAATAAGAGAGAGTGGGAAGGTAAAGAGATAGTTTGATGTGATTCCAATTTCAAGGCCATAACGGGGAATGGATATTAGTAACCTTAGGAAGAGTATGAAGTGTGGAAGGACATGTAAGTCCTTAGACAAGGAGTTGGGATGAGGACTACAAAGGGGAAAGAAGCAATAACTAGGAACCGAACTATGAATAAGCCATTCACCACGGACACCTATGTCAGAGAATTCAAGTAGAGGCGTTAACAGTCAGGATATGGAGAACATAGTTCAAGGTCTGGGCGTACTATGAGATGAAGTTATGACAGGTCAGGTCCTGAATTTATGTTTCAACAAAGTCTACTACGCATTTTGGCATTTGACTGTAATTAAGTTGAAAAAGAATCGTTCATACAATATGATCTTCTTCCAATTTAAATGAGATTCACAAAATGACAACCGAGCATAGGGATGAAAAAAAAAATCAATATTTGGGTACACCCATAGGTCCCAAACCCAACTTATTATGGGTTATATCATACTTTGGATAATTTTACTTTTGGAACATATCCATAATAAACATTTTAGTTCGTGTCTAAAGTAGTTCATAGTATTAGGTATCGTAAAGAAAATTGATATATGATTCAAATACAGTTTTCCCCTTATTTTCGTTATGAAACAAACGAAAAGATGGAAACATAAACTTTTGAGTCAAAGACAATTAATGTGTACAATAATCTAGACTCAAATAGACCCATTTGTATGTACAATAATCTAGACCCAAATAGATCCATTTGAGTCTAACCTAAATTGAATTCAATTCAAACCAAACCTAACACCATTAAAAGTACGTATAAGTAATTTATTTGAATCTGACACATAGATAATAACAGTTGGATTAAATTACCAAACGAATCAACCCATTCCCATTCAGCATGCCACTGTAAGTCTGTAACCAAATCAATGTGCAGCGTGGCATTATCATCATCGTTGAAGGTTTGAAGCATTAGCGGAGGAAGTAGAAAATAAATACAGAAAAAAAAACAAAAACAAAAAAAAAAAATCACACCGAGTCTCAAATGTCAGGAAATGTACAAGAAGTCTAGGTGGTGGCCCGATAAGCTTCAATTCCACACCCAATACCCATTACATTGTAGGCCTGAAACCAAGCTCACTTCACTCACGACATCCAAGGCCCAAATGCAAGTCCAAGCCCAATCCATTGTCACGGCGAGCTGGCCCAGCCTCCTCCCCGCCGTCGAACTCTCCCCTCCACGCCTCCCTCGAAATCTCAAACTCGTCGGCAGCACCACCGCCAACCCACCCAACTCCGCGCCCCGAAATATCCGGAACCAGATGGCACGCGTACAACAACCACGGATCATGCGGTGGCGGCGGCGGTGGTCCCAGCTGCCGGAGTTGATGCTGCGCCGCCGCCGCGAGGAGGTGGCGATGAGACGCCGCTGAGAGCGTGGAAGAGGCGGTGGGCGCGTAGCTGGAAGCAGCTGCGAAGTGGCGGGCGGCGTGGAGCTGGGCCCGCTTGAGGAGCTGCCTCTCCCTCTTGTGAGCGTTCTGGTGGCCGCCCAGCGCTTGCGAGTTGGCGAATTCCCGGCAGCAGTAGTGGCACTCGTACTTCCGCCCGTCCGACACGGCGCCGGCGGCTGGCGGCAGGGAGGTGGAAGACGGCGAGGATGGCGATTCGGATATGTCGAACCCGAAGAGCTTCAGGCCTGCGGTTGTGGCCGTATGGTGTTGATCAGGATGATCTTCTTCAGCCATGGCTGTGACTAGAGGTAATAATTAGCTAGTGTTGTACGTTTGTTGCTTTATATAGTTTCGTAGTGTAAGTTGCTTTGAAATGACTTGTGAAGTTGAGAATGGGACAGACAGATGGAAGAAGATGATCGACGACGAAGAAAGTTCAAGTAGCTGATGTTAGTAGTATATATGTGAGAGTGGTGGTTGTGGAAAAAAAATGAAGAGCAAGCAGAAGAAGTGAGCGATACAGCACAAGAAACCTACTAGACTCCCACTTTTTGTTACCGCCCTACGTAGTTCAAGGATTGAAAAATCGTACCGAGTCGATCGATGGTTCGACCAGAATATCCTCCTATCCGAAGCAAAAGCGATAGACGATATTTGATAGAATGGAACGATCAAACTATAGTTAAACCACAATTTCAGTATAAAATACCCTAGTGCACTGACTTTTCCGGTACGCGATCTTTCAATCCTTTCCTGCATACTTGCTTTTACAAACTGCGCAGCTGCTACGGATCGGGAAATCGCCGGAATCGAGAAAGCAAGAATACGAAAGCGAGAATCGAAAAACAGACACACGATTTACGTGGTTCACTTAACACGATGTGTGGTAGCTACGTCGTCCGCGGGGCAAGAGAGAGAGACAGTTTCACTATATCGAGGAGATTACAGATTACAGGAGGAGATGAGATCAAGTACTATTTATATTTCTCCATGTGAGGTCTAAAACCTAATCCAATACGGTAAAGAAAACGGTTACAGACCAAACCCAAAACTGACCTGTGACTTCCAATCGTAGCGGCTGATAGTCCGATTCAAGTCACATCAAAACCCATGCATTGCATGTAAATGTATGTATGTGGAAGATTGAGAAAGGTCAATGATTTGTATCATTTGAGTGCATGCCAGATACAAACTACAGTAGGAGAGCTTTATGTAGTTAATCTAATGTGAGAAAATTAGGGTCTTCTCAAACCGGCGTGGACACAAAACGTACGTCGCTTTCCCTATGCTTTACTTGTCAATAATTATTATCATACTCTTGATGCTAAATTAGGGAGGGAGCGTATCTAAAGCCCCGGATTCGATCCGCTTTTCGGGCGAACGAAATTCAAACACTTTACCTCACCAGGGACAGGACAAGAGAGTTAGCTTAGAAAAAAAAGACCAAACCTAACCCCAAGTCGGAAAAGACAGATTGAGTGGGGAGGATTGTTGTCGACTGGTTCTCTTAGACTCTTGATTTTTTTATTTGATAATCCAGGGAACTTCAGTCCCTCGTTCCGCTTGAGCGACAACGGGGCCTACTAAACCACTGAGGGTACCTGCATACTAACCGTGACTTTCTGCTACCAACATCGAGGAGGCTTCGCCTTCGATACCAAGGGTGTCGCCGGAAACGCTCAAGTGGCGCCACTGGGAATCGAACTCAGGACCTCCCACATCCAGAGCTCAATTGGCGTTTCACCACTAGACTATGATACCTTTGGCGTTCTCTTAGACTCTTAATTAATCGCCTAATCAGGATCTACCACAATTAAGTCGCTTATATGGACCCACCAATGTCTATGCTTTATTTAATCTTAATCTCAGTCTGACCGATCGATTCTTGCGTGATTGAAGCTTAATTGCAGCTCATCAGTTACACTTACGTACGGACCTCCTTATAACAAGCTTTCTTGGTTTCCAACAAAATAAAATAATAATAATAATTATTATTATAAAAAGGTTGATAGTACGGTTTTGCTACTACCTCATATTAAGAATCAAAATAAATTGTCATATATAATTACAATTTGAAGAATAATTATATGTTGGTATTTCCAACTATATGAAGAATAATCGACATGTACAATTACATGGGTATGTCTAATGTCTACGATGCACTATAATCACCGACGGAGGTGTGTAAGGGAGTTGGGGTTGTGGGTGGTTGTGGCAATTTTTACAGAGGTTGGGTATAGGATTTGAACCTCCAATACCAATTCAAGACCGTTTATGTCACCATCTATGCTAATAAATTTTATAACTTTTATGTTACTGTAATTTGCATGTCACCGTAACTTACACTTTTAGGTCGACCTCATATAGAATTAGGTCGACCTAATATGTCGTTTCAGTTTTGTGAGGTTCAACGACGCAGTTGACCTTTTATATCAAATGGTCAACCTCTTTGAGAAGCGAATAGAATGAAAGGTTGACCCAAATACCTCATAGACCGACCATTTTGATTAACTGAGGTCGACCGCGTGCACACCGTATCCGTATTGGATAAGGATTCCAATACCAGAAAGGAACCCTAACTTATCTACCACTTAATTCGACCCATTCTCGTCCTAAATATCTATAAATACGAATATATGTCACCTTCACCGCCACCGAAACTCTGAATTAGGTTTTTTTACGGTTAGAGCTTTTGTGAAGAAGATCCTTTGCGGTTGCTGCTATACGTGATTCAAGAGGTCGACCACGTGGAAGTTATGAGCCATTGTTATCATTATTAATGACTGATTTTGTTGGTTTGAATGTAATTTGTACGAGCAAAAGAACCACCCACATCGACATACACAAGCAAAAAAGACGCAGGACATAGGTTGATTTTCTTGTATTCGGTCGACCTCGTACCGGATTAGGTCGGCCGTGAAACCAACACTTAATCATCATTTTACGTCAAATGATGATGGATAAATGGATACAACACTTCTCTTCTATCTGGTAGACCTCTAACTGTAAATGGTCGACCATTTTGTTAATGAACCCCATCAAGTGATCGACCTATATACCTTTACGGTTGACCATTTTGCTTCTGATGTCAATGAAAAGGGCAACCGATGTTTTATTGTGGTCGACCAACAATGACAACTTAAACTACAAACGGTCGACCACTACATTTTAAAGGTCGATAGTGATAAGTCATCAGGGTGCAAACATTAGTGTATTCGGAAACCTCACAAAACTGAAACGACATATTAGGTCGACCTAAAAATTCATACTAGGTCGACCTAATCCTATATGAGGTCGACCTAAAAGTACAAGTTACGGTGACGTGCATGTCACCATAGGCACATCCTAAATTTTATCATTATTTTATGCATACACTTTTATTCAAACAACCATCCATCCTAAAAATAAAACACTCTAATAGACATCTTATGAAATGATCATAAGTTGAATTCATATTTTTGTCATTCGATAACAAGTTCGAATAGTTACAACTTACAAGGGGTTGCTGAGTTAAGAAAAAAATAGCTGAAAAAATACGCTAGAATTTTAATCCTTTTCAAATGATGAATTAAAATTATGTTAAAACTGTCACAACAAGAAATTTGGACAAAATCAAACTTTAAATCTCTCATCCAAACAATCCTAAGTAAACACTTAGCATCACTTCATTACTCTAAAGGGCTAATACCACTGGAAAACCCGAACTATTAACTTTGTGTTATTTGTGTCCTAAAGTATTCGATATGACAATTGTGTCCCAAACTGTTTTTTCGACATGGTTGACCGGCGTTGACCGTTAATTTTTAACAGAAAGTCTAGTCACCGCTTTGATGTGGCATCTGACGTGTAATTTTTATTATTTTATTATATTTATTTTCTCATAAAAATGAATAAACTAACAAAATCAAAAGATATTACTAAAAAAATTATTAAAAATCTTTGATTCTTTCCCCAGATTGTTCTTCTTCTCCGCAAAATGGAAGAGTTAGAGAACCGGAAGGTCGGGTGCCGCTTCAGCCATTCCTTCCGCTTCTCGTCCCACCCGGTCACCTTCTTCTCGATCGAGTACCGCAGCTCCGGGTCGTCGTAGAAGGTGAAGTCAGGCGGGTCGAATCTGAGATTCGGAGCCGGGCGGGTGCAGCCGATGTCGCTGAATGCCCTGGGCATGAAGCTGTTGCCGCCGCCGGAGTCGACCGGGTCGGCGTAGGACCAGAGGAATAATACGAGTAAGAAGGCGAAGAGGCAGCCATCGTTGGTCAGAGGAGACGGCCTGTTTCTCGAAGAGGTGGAAGATTTCGCAATTAGGGAGTACTCAGATCTGGACGAATAACTCTTCGCAGTTCTCTAATGCAGAACGGAAACCATCAACAATAAATGTCGAATCGCAGAATCAGATTCCTCCGGTAGGTAAGCGAAGAAAAAACTCATGTGAGCTTCCGCCTTCCGCAGAAACCCAGACCCGACGACGAAGACGGTGTCAACGCCGTCGTCGGCATCATCGACATCCCCACTGGGTTCAGGTCGAATCTCACGCCATGGGAGAGCGATTCCACTGCTCGTCAGAGAATCTATCCTCGAAACCCTAAATCCCCGCCTTCTTCTTCCGCGGCGGCAGAAGGCTGCAGTGGAACAAAGGCCACCAGCTGCTTCTTCGATTGACAGAGGAACCCCCGAGCCGGTCCCTTTCTCCGCAATCTTCTCCGTTGGGAATCGCCGCTGTCGGAAGCAAGCGGCAAATGGAAGGGGCAAATTGACGCGATGAAGAGATGAGGATATGTGGCTGAAAATAATTTTAATTGTTAATTTTTTTTTATTTTGTATTTTAATTGTTAATTTTAATTTGAAAAAAAAAACTGAAGTGGCAGCTGACGTGGCGCACACGTGGCTGCCACATATGTGCCATGTAATCAACAGTCAACATTTTATGGTTGACCGTTTGGTCAACCGTTATCTATAACGGTCAACGAAATTGTCAGGACGTAAATGACACAAAACTATCATACGTCAGGACACAAATATCATATCGAATACTTTAGGACACAAATGACACAAAATTAATAGTTCGGGTTTTCTAGTGGTATTAACCCTACTCTAAATGCTTCTTCATGCGTTGAATGAGTGTGCATTTTCACTTTTCAGCCAGTCAATCGCAATCCATGCTTCCTCAAGTAAGCTTTACATTGTTCTAGTTTCAGCTTCTCTCTGCCTCCCCAACTTCCACCACATTACCACAATATAAAAAAATCAATTCCAGGGACAGAGAACTCCAAGTCCTGATCCCCATTACATTAATAACTCAATTTTACACTTCTAAATAATACTTACTAGATGGATTGATGGATTCTTTTAGCATTCAACTTAAGAAAGCTCTATAAAACATTCTAAAATCTAAATAAATGGATAATGTCAAGTTTGGTCATTGAGTTTACTAAAAAGTGTCATATTTAGTCACTGAAAAATCTAATATCAATTTTGATCACTCAAATTACTTAAACAGTCCACGTTTAGTCACTCTTCGTTAACTTTATCTAATGTGACGGTCAACCTTAACAATTGACCGTTAAATGTCTAACGTATCAATTAAAAATTTAATAAAAAATAAATTTAATACTTTTAATATATCTATATCATTAAAATAAATAAACCAAAAAAATCCCTTCCCCATCGGACCTGTCCCCAAAAAAATATCCACCACCAATGTCGAGAACTTCCCCAATCCGCCAAAGGTATTTGGGGAATTGCTGAGAGATGCATCCTCTTCTTCTTTCTTCTGGAGAGAAATTCCATCGACAAATGTTTTTGGAGAACTTCCCCCAAAATAGGGGAGCTTCAGAAAGACAGTCGATGACCCTGTCTTCAACTTCAAGTCTCCACTGTACATTTGCCAGGTCGAGAAATCTGTCAAACCCAATAGAACGAGCAAAGATTTCTCATCACGATGAATTTGCTGAATGTGTTTATTGATTGGAAAGCTTGAGTTTTATATAACATTTCCTACTTTATTTATATAGAGAAAATAACAACAAAACATTGTAAAGAAAATGGAGTAGCATGGGTTGTTTGTCTGAAGCACATGAAGGTATTAATGTCAAGAATGTCGAGATTGAAAACTACAGAGGAATGACATCTTGGATAAGGTTGATTTGGAGACTGCTGACTGCTTATCTCTGAACAACCTAATAGGGATATATTGAGTTAAATCAACTCACTGGTTCGGGTTTGCGCCGTTTACGACTCTCAGGAAAAGTTGCTGCTTCTCAACTAACTTTTCACTCTTTGGAATAGCGGCTCCTTATTTGCTAGCTAGCTTTCCCTTCAGCTTTTTGCTGGAACTTCAATTTAGGATATGTTGCGGCTTCTTGGCTAGCTAGCATTCCTTACAATACTTTTCCTATATATTCTCCCCCTCAAGCTGGAGCATGAACACTATGAATGCCCAAGTTGAAAGGTGATGAATAATTGGTCTTTGCCCAATTTTGAACGCCGAGGGGATGATCTTTTCTTGGATCGCGATTGCCTACTGAACGCTACGAAGACGATTACTTCTTGGATTGTGCTACCGTATGAACGTCGAGGGTAAGATCTGACCGTGAAGCCGAGGGAACAATCTTTCTTGGATCGTGATTGCCTTCTGAATGCCGAGGGGACGATTGCTTCTTGCATCGTACTACCATATAATAATGCCAATGGAACGACCTGATCGGGAATACCTCGCACAGTGACAGACATACATTTCCACTAACAAAAAAGAAGGACGAAAGAACCAATTATAAGGGTACAACGATTAATCAACCCTGTCGATCCATATCAAGGGACTAATGTAGATAGGCAATAATATGCAATTTAAACCTAGCCTAAACGGAACAATATGGGCCATATTTTGGTCTTTTTTCTGCAAATAACAAAACCTTGTGTGTTAGATCTTGGAAATAATAATTTGGCCTAACTTGAGATTAAAGTGGGCCGTTGTTGGGTGAGGAAACCCAATTTGCTATCATACCTCTTAACCAGCATCTTGGAGATTGCTTTCATCCATACAAAGGTTTCTTCAACTTACCGACATAATCTTTTTTTCCTAGAACGTGGAACTTATATGATTGAGTCATATAAATTTCTTCTTCCAACTCTCCAATTAGAAAAGCGTTTCTAGATCTAGTTGATGAAGCTCCCTTGTAGGATGTGCAACTATTGCTAGTAACATACTGATTGAAGTATGTCTCACTACTAGTGAGAAGATCTCGTTGTGATTAACACATTCTCTTTGTGTGACCCTCTTGCAACCAATCAAGCTTTATATTTGACACCTTCTACAGATGATATCCTTTCCTTCTTTTTGAAGATCCACTTACAAGTAACTTGATAATTTAGACTTGCCCGATGAGTATTCACGCCATTTTTCGTGATGGAGAGGGTAAACTCCGACTCATGCTAGAATTGTGTGGGTCTTCACCCAATCCGCATACAGAACAGGGCGGGAATGGGTGTAGCTAATGCTCCGCCCTGTCCCGCACTACCTCGCCCTCTTAACCTTAGTGTGCTATGCATACATAGAAATAAATTCCCTTAGTCCCACAAATATAAGCCTAGAAATCATTCACATATCGCAATCCCATCCCTTCATCATCCCTATTCTTCTTCTCATTTATCTACCCTTAACATTTACCTTCTCAAAATTGCAGCCTTTCCTTTCCCCAACGTCAAACTCTTTTTTAAGAACTCCAACCATTAATGTAGGGAATTGCTATTTCTACTCTGGTTTGGTTATCCCTGCTATCTATTTACATGCTACCTGCTAGTGCTCATCGACAATTCAATGCAAACCCAGAAATGTGAACCTCAAGAGCGGGTGCTCATCGACAATTCAACACATCGATTAAATTACTAACAGATGGCCTCTTTTTTTTTTTTTTGGGTAGAAAAGATGGCCATTTTATAATAACAGTTCTTAAGTAATCAGCGATGAAGGGTAGATCTTATAATTTCATAGGGTTTTCCTAACACAACCTCAAATCCTGAACAAGTAACTCAGATGATTATGCTCAAGCAAACGTATACAAACTGATTAGTGTCTTGTAGTACATCTCAGAAGGGGAAAACTCTATTATTCAAAACACATGATTTGGAGGTACATGGAAACCCAGTGGTGATAATACAGGACAACTACAACAAACCGCTATTACAACTCAGCAACACAAAGAACATCCTTCAACATTCAAAACAACATAAGAAAAGCTCAACCTTTCAATTAAAACAAGAAAAATGCAAATCTTCCGGAAAATCGTTGGCACTGCAGCTAACAGAGTGCGTTCACTGTGATATGAGCGGTGGTTTGATGTTATCAGTATGCAACTGTGCCAGTGCATCAGCTAACATTGTCGTCGTACCTTTGGCCAAGGTTTGGTACTGAAATTGTAGTGCTGCAGGAGGTGGAGGAGGCTGAGATTTGTATATCTGGGCATGCGATGCATCTCCGTCATCTTCTTCTCTTCTGTAACTAGATTTATCCACTGATGAAGCAATGGCAGAGGGTGGCTGAGTTTGAAGATTCATTGGCAGACCTAACTCCTGTGGTGATGAAGTGGGCGCGACCTTGTAACTCACTTGGGCAGGGCTCATGGAAGAGCTTGGATGCAATGGAGGCAGATTCCCTGTTGAAGAGCTAACCAAACCACTTTGCATAGGGGCATTACTATAAGTCTGTTGTGCAGATACGAAGTAAATCGGTTGAGGTTGATTGGTCTGGTGGTAGTAAACTGGCTGCTGTGTAAGTGAAGGATTGTTCATCATGTAATATGAAGGCATCTGCATTTGCATTACGCCAACTGGGTTCGGAGCCGCATACTGTAAGCCGCTGGAATGGACATAATGCACTTGCCGTGGCTGATCGAATTGAAACGACGGCTGAAATGTGGAGGCCTGAACTGCTCGTTGAGTATCTCCCTCAAGCTCAGAGTGATTAGTGGCAACTTTTCCATCCATTGTTGCAGCAAAACCAGCCGAATCCTGGTGAGGCTGAGAGATCATAGTTCCACCTAAGCCTCTATCACTGTACAAACAAACACATCAAGCTACATAAGCCTAGAACTAGTTCGACCACCAACTAATTCAAAAGATTTTACAGATTTCGTGTTGCAAATTCTTACCTGAGAATTGATTCTGGGGAAGACAATTTCAGCTTGCTATTATCAATTGGACGAGCCCCACATTCGTCGATCTGGGCTCTGGCAGGCAAATTCGATGAAGAAGTGGAGGACGAAGTCGATCCAAATGACGAGCTGGTTTCAAGAGCCATCGACTCTGCTCCACAAATCCCAACAACAGGTTCACAGCCATTGTTGTTGTGACCCTCGCCAGCATAGCCCGCCACTCCTCCTCTCTGCATAATCTTGGCGCTCTCCAACACATCGACGAACCAGCTCTCCTTCTTTGGGTGAGTCAACTCGCTCCCGCCGCCGCTTAGCTCCGCCAAGTTGGAAGCGGGCTTCGCGCCTGCCACGGTGGCGGATTTGGCCGGAAAGACGAACAATCGGATTCGTGCGGGAGCAGGGAAGACGCGGTTGTGCTCGTCGAGCATGATGGCGACGTCCTCGTCTGTGGAGAGCGTGATGAGGGAGTCGAGATCATGGAAAGGGAGCTGGTATTTGAGGGTGAACGGTGTCCCGAGGCGGAGGGCGGCGGCCAAATGGGCGGCGAGGATGGGGAGGGTGAGGAGATTGGCGGCGGTGGTAGGGAGTGTGATAATGCGGGTGTCGCCGCCGGCGTAGAAGAGAGACTTGGTTTGAGGTCGCGGGATTATCTGGCCTCCGTAACTGCACATGAGACGTAGCTTAGCCCCGCCGGTGGAGAGTGAAGGCTCCATTTCCAGAGGTCGCCGGTGGTTGGAAGAGGAAAAGGGAATTTAGGGATTGTACTGAAAATTGTTATTTGTTAAGACAAGGAAGGATGTTGACATGGTGGGCACTGTAGACGAGGCACATGTTGGCAGGAAATTAAATGGGTTCACCGGCCCATAGATCTGGGTTGGACATGGGCCGGGCTAAGAAGGACTGGACAGTCGTAGTAGTAGGCAATGATAGGATATAAAAGTGGGCCGGTACTATCCCAATTCCCAACATATGTGATCCAAACGTGGGCCGGTACTATCCAATATGTGAACAAATCAAGATAGAAAATTATTTCTTCCTACAATAATACATTTATCAAAAGAAAGAAAAAATCTAGAGCTATCAATATAGCTTATGTAAAAGAATACTCAAATGAAAAAAAAAAAAATCTTATGATCATAGAGGGAAGATTTTTTAGAGCTATCAATCCAGCTTCTGAAGCTTCAATTTTGGGTTGTTATCTTGGATAAGTTTCTTAGACTTGCATACACATATCTCTTGGCTTAGGTTGAATAGCTGCCTGTGGCAAGTGGCAAGTGGCAACTTCAACTAAGTGTTATCTTGGATAAGTTTCTTAGACTTGCATATACGATCAAATCTAGCGAAATACCGAGTATCTTCGATTCTATCTAAAACGGGATCTGAAGCGAATGTGTAAAAAACTGCAGCTCCACAGGGCATCATCGTGATAAACACAACCGCAATACTATATATCAATTCACTATGTTGTTGGGTTGTCGTTCCATGAAGGAGCATCACCACATTGTAGTAAGCAAAAGCTTGCAACACGACGGCCACCATATTATCGCTTACATGGTAATCCAAAACCTTCCATCGGTATTTAACGAATATGTGAGTTTGGATATTAAAAGCTATCAATCCAAGCAGAATCCATGGATCCAGATCACGTCGATGACGGGAACTATTATACCCAAAGACGAGAGAGACAAGGATGACAAAGATGAGGTCTGCAGACCTAGCGTAGCGGCCCCATACGCAACCGGGAGATTTTTCACCCCAAACAAGGGCAAAATGGCTTAGGACAAATGGAAGAGATGTGAAGGCTGTTATATTAGCCATGAAAAAAAGAAAATGCTGGCCAAGCTTCCAAAAGTCTTGAAATGTTGTAAGTAGCAGAAAGGAGAACCCAAAGTTCACGAATGTACTGATCATCAATAGAAAAATCCAAGATGCGAGTACCTTTCCTCTTGTACTTTGGTTTCCTTGTTCTTCCCCTACTGTTGCTATTGCTTCTTCAACCTTTCCCATATCCATCTCCACCTCAACGGTACAAAGAATAGTTAGCGATTCAGAAGAAACAAACGATCACTAAATGATCGGACAAACCTAAATTCCTTACTTCGAGATTCTCCTATATATTAGGTTGTTTATGAACTCGTTAAACAAATTGAGAAAAACCTGCACGCTTATTTCTCATATCATTGGAAGTCCCGATTTATCGCCGTTATTTTTGTTTCTTTCTTGTGCGAAGAAAGTTGGTAAACAAAAACAAAGAACGAAAAAATCAATGAGGTATATAGATGAATTGCGGTACGAAATTAAAAAAAATTAATGTTAACAAAATACAAACTAAAATTTGTGTGTACAAATCTTTTATGCTTGTATGTGGACTGATATATCATCCATATGAACTCATATCACACACTAGTTTTGATACTTTTCTATATCAAGCCAACCAGCGGCGGATCCAGGATATAGAAGTGCACTGGGCCGGATTCGAACATAAAATTAGATACAGTAAACAAAAAAAGTTATAGTTTGCATTACAATGTCAATTGTACACGATGGTCTTTTAATTTAGCAAATTCGTCAATAATTGAGTCTTCATCCATACCAATAACATACTCTCTCTCAAAGAAAATAGTCAAGCAATCAGCAAGAAATTCATCGCCCATCTTGTTGCGCAAATCAGTCTTCACATGTTTCATTGCTGAAAAGGATCTCTCTGTAGTAGCCGTTGAAACAGGCAATGTCAACACTAGACGAATCAACCGACAAATCAATCTGTACCGTGCGTCCATCCCTGTTTCCACCAGCTTCTCTAGTAATTTTGCAAGGGAAGAAACATCATATTCCTGACTATGAACCACATGATCAACATAATATCCTAGCTCATTCTTCAAACAATTCATCTCATTGCCTTCAAAGTCTCGAGGATAAAACTCTTCAGCAAGTCTGTAAATATTTTCTTCATCAAAAGACCGGAAAGAACTTTTAGGGTCTAGTGCACCACTCAACTGCAGCAATCTGACTGATGACTCATTGAATCTTGAATTCAATGTTCCCAACTGAAAATCTATGCATTGATTAAAGTATTCAAAATGATAGCGATGCTCAAGAGTTGTTTGCTTCTCACCACGTCCAAGTGTAGCATTCATATTAGGTACCTCTATGGCATGTTTTGAGCAAAAAGATTTTACCTCTTGGAGTAGCTTGTCCCATCCTTCATCCCGTAGCTTTTGAAGTTTAACTTTTGCCATGGAAACAAATCCAACTGCAGCTACAATGTCAACAGATTCTTGTTGAAATGCTTGACAAAGAAAATCCGTGATATCCATAATCCCTTTCATCAAGTGAAGATTGAACACAAACTCAAAAGTCTTGATATTTTTTGAAGCACCTCTGGCTTGAGCTCGTTGTTCTCCTTCTTTAGAACGGCAAAGATCCTCTAGAACTACACATGTTGCATTGAACATGTTTATAATGCTCAATATGGAATGATAATGAGATCCCCAACGAGTTGGCCCCGAACGCTTTAAGGATGTCATTTGATTAACTCCTTGTCCAGATTGAATTTCTCCAGCATCCAACATACCATCAAGATCTTTTTTGTGAATTGCTTGCAACTCCCTGATCCGTTTAGGAGAAGCCTTCACAACATTTATGATACAATCCAATATGGAAAAGAAATCCCATATAGGATCACATACCTTTGCAGAAGTAATCAATGCCAACTGTAATCTGTGAGCAAAACAGTGGACAAAATAGGCATATGGGCAATCTCTAAGAAATAATGCCTTGACTCCATTAAATTGTCCTGACATATTACTAGCACCATCATATCCTTGACCTCTCAATTTTTCAATTTGAAGGTCATACTGAGAGAGAACGCCACAAATAGCTTGTTTTAGTGTTTCTGCAGAAGTATCACCTACACTCTTGAGAGCAAAAAAGCGTTCACTTACTATACCAGAAGAAGTGACATACCTCAAAATAATAGACATTTGTTCCCTTCCTGCTTCATCAACTGCTTCATCAACAAGAATAGAGAAACAATAATCTCCAATCTCCTCGCGTATCTTACAACGCACTCTATTTGCTATGATTCCCAATATCTCCTTCTGAATGCTTGGTGAAGTGTATTTCGCATTTCCTGGTGCGTTACGAAGAACTACACTATTGATTTGATCATTCAACTTCGCTGCAAAACCAATCCAAGCTAGAACATTCCCCGGATTCAAAGAATCATCAGATTCATCATGTCCTCTAAAAGAACTTCCTTGTAAAGCCAACTGTTTGACAACCATAATTGTTGTTTTCAACCGCAATCGATGCTTTAGAACTTCTTCTCCACCAATTCTGTGCATCACTTTATCAATATGACCGGAGGGTTTCATCAAGGCATCAGCCGCTGTAACACATTTATTATGGCTTGAAGAAGCTGATGAACCAACATGAACAAGGAACACACATTTCTTACCATTAACCCTCTTCCAATTATCAAATCCATCTTGCACTAGTGCAGAAGTTTGATTCCCATTCATCTTGTCTCTAAACAAAAAACATGGGAAACAATATGCTTTATGTGTTGTAGGAGAATACTCCAACCAATCAAATTGTGAATACCATGCTTCTTGAAAGTGACGAATTTTATCTGGGTATTCTCGCGGCTTATAGTATGCGAGTTTAGGTTGATAAGCCTTGGGTATTAGGTATTTTCTCCTAACCTCATCTCTCAACTCAAGAGCCCAATCACATATTTGTTTCCTCTTTCCTGGATCTCTTTCAATTTCAACTCCACTATCATATGATGGAAGTAGATTACCGGATACAGGAGAAGTAGATGCTTCATTCTGAACTGGAGAGGAAGATGGTTGACCTTCATTAGGAGGGACTTCTTCGGTATGACATGATTCAGATTCCTTACGTTGATAGTAAGAAAACAATGTTGTTTTCACCTTTTTATTTGGTGGTTGAGAAGATGTCATGATGAAATATCTTGAAATCTGCATAACCAATTATACATGTACACAACTCAGTCAAACACTAGATTCTAAGTAAATTTGGATACAAACTACTGTGAAGGGAATAAGACTAACTTAGTTTCTAAGTAAATAAGACTAACTAAACTAAGACAATAAGATCAATAATCAATTGGCAAATTGCAATTACCTCTCTAGTCTCTACGCACTTTCTTTGCAATAATAGACAGATCACAAATTCACAATTCACAGATGAGATAAGAGAATTAGTGAATCACAAACGGAGAGACTAGAAAGAATGCTGGGCGGTGGGCGCTGGCGCTGCGGTCTGCGGAGAAACTAGAAAGTGCGTAGCCATGGTTGGATATTAGCAAACGGGAGAAACTACAAAGTGCGTAGCCACTAGCCAGTGAATCACAAACGGAGAGCCTCAGCCTGGCCAAGGAATCTCCGGCGCCGGCCGCCGGGTCAGGGTGACAGGCAGACAGGGTCTCCGGTGACGAGACGGTCTCGGGACGGCCGGACGGGGAGGTGGGGACGATCAGCGCCAGCGGCCAGCGGAGCAGAGGCAGAGCAGGTGTGTTCGTCACTTCGTCTTCTTTTTTCTTTTTTTGCTTCCAGACTTGCAGGGGAAGCTAATGATGCGGGAGGTTTTATTTGGATTGTTTGGGCTGCAGGGGAAGCTGATGAGGAATGGGGCTGGGTGCCTGGGCGGCTGGGCCTTGAGACGGGCTGGGCCCAAATTCATGCACATTAAAATGCCGCTGGGTTGGATCTTAGGGGAGGCAGGGAGGGCTGGGCCCGGGCCCAGTCTGGCCCCCCTGTATCCGCCGCTGAAGCCAACCCACATAGTACATGGAACAATTTATGAATTCCCCTCTTACCATAATATAAGCCACTAGTTATACTAGGCCAAATATCATTAGAAAACCCGAACTATCAAAAAAGAGTCACTCGTGTTCCAAACTATTCAATATTTCATTTGTGTCCTGAACTAATATTCCGTTATTGGGCGTTAGTATATAACTAAAAATCCAGTCAGCATTGACGTGACATTTGACATGGAATTTTAATTTTTATTTAATAAAACAATTAAAATAATAATAATAATAACAATAAAATAACTCTTCAAACATCTTCTCTTCACCTCCCCGATTCTCCGCCGGCAACGAGCTCAATTTGTGGGGGATCGATTACCCCATTTCACATTCTATCCACCCACTACCACTAGTATCTGCCAAAAACATAATGCTTCTGCACACTGGTTTGCAAAAACTTCGAAACCAATCCCTGCAAATTTCGTCGGACTAGAGGAGCTCCCAGATCTCCCTTGCTTCGTCTACAACTCTTCGATTCGAAGAAGGAGACGGAAGGATAGGGGATTTTTCCAGAAATAGCACTGTTTAAAAAAAAAATTCCAAAAATAGCACCTAAGTCCGAAAAATTGCAAAAATAGCACCCTTTCCCAATAACCGCTCCCTACCAGTGCGGTTTAGGCGAAAACCGCCACCCAGGGGCGCGTTTTTCGATGAAAACCGCATCCCTAGGGGGCGGTTTTGCAGATCGCACCCCCACCATGCGGTTTGGTTGCAGATTGCACCCCCACCATGCGATCTGCTTTTTTTTAAAAAAAAAAATCCTAACCTAGGTGGAAACTTCAAACGGACGTATCTTTGTGTTCGGGTCTCCGATCGTCGCGAAATTTTTTTTTGATTCCGCATAACTTTTTGAGATCTTGCAAGCCGAAGATTGCCGAATGTGGTTTGGTCCAGCCTTCGTCCCAAAAAATGTCGTTTGCTACCCCGAACGAGCTTATTTCCGATTTCGTCAAACTTTGGACAACCATAACTTTGTGCTCCAAAATCCAAACGACATTATTTTTTTTTATTTCGCATAACTTTTTAAGGACTACAATTTTTCCTAGAATGAATTTTCAAAACAGGAATTATTTTGGATATACAGGATTTTGGGAATAGCTTACCTTCCCTTCTCAGCAATCCACGTACATTTTGAAATTATGTCTATGATAAAAGTTGTATTCCTTAAAAATTTATGCGAAATAAAACAAAATTCATGTCGTTTGGATTTTGGAGCACAAAGTTATGGTTGTCCAAAGTTTGACGAAATCGGAAATAAGCTCGTGCGGGGTAGCAAACGACATTTATTGGGACGAAGGCGAGATCAAACCACCTTCGGCAGTCTTCGGCTTGCAAGATCTCAAAAAGTTATGCAGAATAAAAAAAAAAATCGCGACGATCTGATACCCGAACACAAAGATATGTTCGTTTGAAGTTCCCACCTAGGTTAGGATTTTCAAAAAAAAAAAAAAAACAGATCGCATGGTGGGGGTGCGATCTGCAACCAAACTGCATGGTGGGGGTGCGAAACCGCCCCCTAGGGGTGCGGTTTTCATCGAAAAACGCGCCCCTGGGTGGCGGTTTTCGCCTAAACCGCACTGGTAGGGAGCGGTTTTTGGGAAAGGGTGCTATTTTTGCAATTTTTCGGACTTAGGTGCTATTTTTGGAATATTTTTTTTTAAACAGTGCTATTTCTGGAAAAATCCGAAGGATAGTTAGAGCTCTAGATTGCAGATCCACCCACGATTCCCTTCTCTGAGCGACGATTCTTCTCCGCCATCAATGGGTCAATTTTCTGAGTTGGGCATTGTGGTGGCGCTAGAAGGGCGAAACCGAGTTCAGGGGTTTGGGAAGGAGAAATCTGACGGGAGGGAGGGGATATAGCAATGGCGACCCACTCATACTTTATGAATGAAAAATAGTGGTTATAGAATGAGTAATTGAGTCTAAAAAATTGCAATGATCGACTCTAGCTAGTTGAAGAGAAAAGTCAAAATAAGAGAAATAAATGTATAAATACTGTAAGAAATTGAGCCAAGAACTAGGCAGGCCGGGGCGGAAGTAGATACTCATTCCCCGCACCATGCTACTGCGAGTCGAGTATTTGAGGGGATGGATTGATGAGAGTATTTTTCGATATTGGGCTTTTGGGTATTTTTCGGTTGGGCTAGGGTGTTTTTCCTTCCTTTTGGGTCAAGTTTTCCTTTTCTGTTTGGGAAGGGGTAGCCGAATAGGGGTAGGACTAGGTTACGTATTAGGCTTTCGTGAGTCTATAAATATGTAACTTGGGCATTAGTTCCGTACCAATCAATCAATAAAGTTAAGGTTTATCGACACCAACGCCGTTCTCTCGCTCGTGAGTTTCGACCAAAACCCTAGAACAGAGGGAATCTGTTCATCATTTTCTTTAATCAATTGTGTAGTTACTACTTCAGTTTGATGAAGTTTATCTTTCGGGTGCTGAGTACTCGTAGTTCGATAGGGTCAGCATGAGCACGTTCTTTTCCTTTTGCAGGCAGCCGTGGTGGACCATACCCAAGTCCTTTACGATAACCAGGATCACTACCTAGAATCTCGTGGAAGGATTCATCTTCAGTTATTGGATGGTCACTGTCCTTGCTTGCAGCCACATTCTCCACCATTTTTGCCTAAAAACAAAAAAGACATCACTTGTTGGTCAACAATAATTGAAAAGAATAAAAAAAGTAGCTTATTTTGTATATAAAAAAGTGGAAAAGAGGAATAGCTACTTATTTGGACAGTAGTGATAACATTAACTTTACTAATATTTACAAATAAAGCAAGAGATAACTCAAACTTGCCAAGAACACAAATCGACAGCAGCAAAAACAAAATAAAGTAAGCCAACAAAGAAACATAGTAATTGGTTATGAACTTACATGAGTTTATTTTGTGTGTTGATTTACCCAATTCCCCTTCTTATTGATTCTTGTCAACTCGAACAATCCAATTTGTTGTTGATACCACAGTCTTTCATAGTAATCTTTGTTGGTATAACATAATACCACATAAGACATACTTAGTAGGTCACACAATTATGCACACTACAAAGCAAAAGATAGAAGCTACCTGCTGATGGTACAAGGGAGCAAAAGCACTTCTTCCTTTACAGTGCAAATTCTTCACATTAACTCGATTGTTCTTGTTCTTCACGCAAAGTGCCTATGATGTAATAATGAACTTGTGTTTATATGCATGACATAGTCCATTTATCAAACAAGTCTAAGTATTAAAACTTGCTTTATTCTTAAACTCAAACATACCTCAACTTCTGGGGTTCCCCAATAATCAATTAATCACACAAATTGTTCCATGTATCATGGTCTAGATTATCTGGCTTGTGTCTCCTTGCCACTTATGGATGTGAACAACTTATTATTAGCAATTAAATACTTAAAGTAGAATAAACACTTAGGAACAAAAAGCTCATTATTACCTTCCCTCATATGCGGTGAAGGATGAGAACTTCCAATGGTCATTTCGTGCATATCATTAAAAGCACCTAACAACGATTGTCTTCTAGAGGTAGACACACCACCGTTGAAGTTCAACGCGCTCCTTAAGCCTTTATGTTTTCCTAACCATGGTATTAGAAGAAAAGATGGAAAACAACTCAAGGAAAAAAGTGGACAACATGCAAGAAAAATGAAACTAAGAGTCTAAGACCACTTAAGTGACAAATGGACAGCAGTCATAAACCACTTAGGTCCTCTAACTATGAGCCAAGGCTCTCTCAACATCCTTCTGGTATGCCTCTTGTCATATTGCAAACAACCTTTTTTTGTGTTGGGTGACAAATGGTCTTAAAAAATGTAGCCCATTCAGTGTAAATCCCATTAGCCAGGTAATGACATTGACCGTAAATGATATCGTGTACTGTATACCTAACCCACAAAACATTTCCTCTAACAGGTTCAACGAATAGAGAGGAGACTCCAAGAATGTTTATGTCATTGCATTGTTCGATTTGACATTTTCGAAAAAGGCATGCCAAATACTTGTTTTCTAAGATGCTACTGCTTCAAGAACTATGGTTAGTTTTCCTTTATATCCAACTCATTATGTCAATCATACAATTAGTAATAGCAATGAGGCGTTGCAGGTCGTGTAATATAAGCGTGGGTATCGGTTAGGGGCAGGTCGGCTTATTCTTATATATATTGTGAAGAAAACATTTATATTTAACTATAAAATTAAAGAGGAAATAGTTCATAAATGAAATATAGAGATAATAGGTAGATTAGTTGAGTAGAATTAGTTGAAAGATGAAGTCTTACACTCATCTAAAGTATTATGGTTGAAAATATTATTTGAAATAAGTCAAAATAAGAGAATTCAGTTAACTATTTGGACAAATCAAGATAATTTGGGTCAAGAACAAGACGAAAATAACAGTGTTGTCAAAACCGAACCGGACATCGATCCGGATTAATAAGAGGTTCACGGTTTATCGAATAACTGTTGATTAACCGGAATTGGAAATCGGTCATAAACCGGTACTTGACTCCAAAAAATAAGCAAGAAGTACATAAAAAGAAAGAAAAAGAAAATCAAAACCCAAAAAGGGAGCAGGGGTTGGCTTATTTTTAGGGTTTCCGTTACCTAGTTTCCGATTTTTTTAATTAGTAATTAAAAGACAGCAAAAATGGCAGGCCCTAGTTTAATTTACAAGGCTGCCCGTTTTATTAGACCGGTCCAGTTTTAATAACAAGGGAAAATAGTATCATGCCCCATCCCACGCTATTGCGAGTTGAGTATCAATCGCCCAACGCGTGGATAAAGTCCGATAATACCCACTGATGCGAATCAAATATCTTTCACTACATGTGTCTATATATAGTCAGGTGACCAGTTGTTGTGCTTTCAAAATTATATGACGGCGTTATTGAATATTGACTAACAAATTGACAGAATTAAAACAAACCACCCTCTCTTTGTCATGATCAGTTGTCGACAGATATGCACAACATAAGAGCACATCCAGTCAAGTCTGTCAATACATCCATTTTAGACTAGACGCCGCTCCACTGTGCTCGATCAGCTTTGAATGCACTACGCCGCCTGATTTTTTCTATCCATTTTCTTAACGAATAATCGTATATATCAACTGCATGAAATTTCCTCGCCTGTTTTTGACCGGCGTTTGCGAGTACGAACTTTCATTAATTCTCATTGACAAAAAAATAAATAAATAAATAAACGAACGAACGAACAATATAGGGCAGCCCATATCGTGGCAGGAAAACCCTATTTTGCTAGACCTGTGAAGGTCTTTTCATTTTTCATTTGTGATTTGACCTGCAAAGATCATGTATATTGTTATATACTTCGTATCTACTGTTTCCCTTTGGGGATCTCTATGGCAAAAAAAAAAAAAAAAATACAAAGTGGATGGGGGAAAAATTATTGCAAAACGTATATGATATCCTCTTGAGGTGATCAAAAGAAGAAGACACAATAGTACTACGGTTAGTAAACGGTACATGATCCACGATTGAATCTCTTTCAACAACTCGAGTTATTGGGATCAACTGGTTCTTGACATGGTATCAGAGCTTTATGTGTAAGGTCTTCTGTTCGATTCGCCCAACTCGTGTCAGGACCTGTGCCTGTCCAAACTCCAAGCCTAAACGATATATGATTAACTGGTTCTTTCACAACTACTACATGGGATTCAATTCATGAGCCGAAGAAATGTTCTTGAACATCTCGTAGATGATCCTGTTCCGGAACTCCTCGTTGGTGCACGTGCTCTTCACGTGCCTGGCCTTCGGAACCCTTCTGTTGCCGAACACCAAGTTGGTATTCAAGTAACCCACGCTCCCGGCCAGCCTCACCATCATGTCCAGGTAACCGTTCTTCAGCTTCGCCGCCAGCTTCAGCGGCGCCGCCATCACGATTCTCAGCCGCAGCTTCGGGACCACCTTGATCCTCCACGCCAGCTTGCGGGACGAGGAGGAGGCGGAGGAGGACTTGTCGCCGCCGAGCCTGGCGATGCGGATGTTCTTGTTTCGGATTGAGCCATAATCTTGTCGTAGCTTTTGGTATCTCTTCCTTCGCCAGTATCTGTCCCCGCTGCTGTAGAATTTTGTGCCGAAGATTTCCATTTCTTCACAGAGAGGGAGAGAGAGAGAGAGAGAGAGAGATCAGTAAAAGGAGAAATTTTTAGAGGAATGGAGCAGGAGAAAGCGGTTGGAGGATGGCGCAAGTTAATTTGGAGGGCAAGTTGTATGTGTAATTGGTATTTATGGCGGAAGGCAATCGGCATAAAGCAAGCAGTCAAGCACGCAGCAACGGAGATATCATGGGGGATTATCCGAGAAGATACATTTAATTTGGGCCTCATGTAAAGTAATAATAACAATAAAATATTTGCTGTTTAAACGTTTAAGAGCCGGGGTCAACAACGGCAAGCGGTCAAACATTCTTCGCTATTAAATAAAATCTACATATGTGATCAATACATTCACCTAAATACGGTTTGAGATAGGATCAGTAATAAATAGGGACGGTATATGGCCAGAGCAATCATATGATAGGATTGTACGCCGTTATTTTTGTCTGTTTTATATTATTTCTATTTTATTTTATCCCGCATTTAATTACTACATTTTCAAAGGAAGATAAAGAAATAATAATTTTTCGGCAACTCTACTTTCTCTTTCTCTCTTTCTTCTCTCCCCCTTTTCTCTCTCAATCTCCTTTTCAGATCTTTTCTCTTTCTCTTTTTCTTTTTTCTCAATCTCCTTTCCAGATTTAGATATGCTCTCTTCTCTTTTTCTTCATTTTTTTCTCCAACAATCGACGAATAAAAATTACAGTCACTCTCTTTCATTGCGTTTCTTCTCTTCATCAACCCGTTGACCTCAATTCCGATCTTTCTATTTTTTGGCATTTTGGTATTCTTGTTTGCAAAAGAGGAAATGAGAGGAGACAGAAGAAGAGTTTTTTTCTCTCCCTCCTTCTGTTTTTTCTTCTTTTAGATAATATATATATATATATATATATATACCATATAGTATTGGGTGGTAACGAAATATATATTGATATTACCACACTATATCATATGATATTGTGTGATAATGATATATATATATATATATATGGCTAGTTCTATGGTACCCTGGGTGAAATCTGGGGTACCGAATACCTTGAGTAAGAAAACGCTATCCAGAACTTGAATTGACTAATCTTTCGGACATGATACTATACTCTAACTCTTAAAGATCAACATCTAGGTCTTAATTATCTAAATCTTATACCCAAAGATCAATTTAATTAGAAACGATAATCGACCGTTATGATTCGTCCAAATATAGGCAAAAAAATCAATGCACCATTTTAGGGTTTATAGTTTATGATTTAGATAATTAGGACCTAGGGTTCACTCATTAAGGGTTTGGGTATAGTATCATGCCCAAAAATCCTGCTAATTCGAGGTCTAGATAGCGTTTTCATACTCAAGGTATGCGGTACCCTGGATTTCACCCGGGGTACCGTAGAAGGCACCATATATATATATAGATATTACCACACTATACCATATGGTATTGTGCAGCGCCGAATCCAGAACATAATAGAGTACTAGGCCACATTTTATTAGAAAATTAGATACCATAAAAAAAATTATAGTTTTTTTTACAATATCAATTGTACACGTCGATCTTTTAATATAGCGAATTCATCATTAATGGAGTCTACATTCATACCAATAGCATACTACTAACTTTTAAATAAAATAATTAACCATCGACGAGAAATTCATCGCTCATTTGTTGCGCGTGCGCAAATCATTTTTCATCTGTTCCATTGTTGAAAGGTTCTCTCCATATAGTAGTTGTTGAAACGAGCAATGTCAACACTTGACAAATCAATCGACTAATCAATTTGTATTGTGTGTCCATCCCTATTTCCAGCAGCTGCTCTAATAATTTTCCAAGAGAACAAACATCATATTTCTTTTAGTCTTTTACGTATTAGACTTTTAGAATTTTAGGTTCTATTACTTGTTTTTATTTAGCCGAGAATCATTGGAGCTAGAATTTCTAGACTAAATTTAGAGTTGTGATTTGAATATGTTTATCAGGCCCATTTCCTAATTACACACAATTTTATTATAAAATAACACTGAACCGAATGGTTAAAATCGGTTAACTTATAAGGACTATACTAACTCTGGTTCCAGAGGAGGACTGGGTCGTGGCCCGGGATGGCCACCCCTGGATCTGCCACTAGTATTGTGTGGTAACGAAATATATATTGATATTACCACACTATACCATATGGTAGTGGGTGGCAGTCGACACCAATTCCGAGAAAGAAGAGTTAGAAGACAATAAAGGGGAGAAGAAAGTGACGAGAGTCATATCCTAATTACTGATAGATAAGTAATCTATGGTTACTCACCTGATCACTAGCCCTCTATCATTCCAAATTCCATATCCTAATTACAACAATCACGTCCAATTCATATTTACTAAACCAAACATACCAAAAATAAATAGCTTCGCGAGCAGAAGAGATGAAAACCCTAGCGGGAATCAGCGAGTAGTAGGGAATGAGGACTTAGGATAGGGTCAGTAACCATTGGTTACTGACCTATGAGTAATTAAATCTGGACCTAATGGTTACTGACCTATGAGTAATTAAATCTGGACCTTTAGATCTAGGTGGGTCCAAAAAATTCAGATTTAAGGGTTGTCAATTAAAGTCATTTTATTTTCCCTAGTTTTCTTAATTGACTCTTATCTTCTTTGCTCTAACTCGGATTTCAATTTGTTTTGCGCAGATGGAACGAGTTTGTTGTGCTCTACAAAATGAGATCAATTTTCAATATATTTCGAGAAACTTTTTTTTACCAACTACATACTATATGGTAACTTCTTCGTTTTTAAGTCGTTTTTGAAAACGTTTGCTCAGAAGGAACGAGTTCATCAAGATCTATTGGTAGGCATGTCAAATGGGTCTTAGGGTATGAGTTTTACCCAAACCCAATTGAATTTGGGTCAAATCATGTTTTGGGTTTTTCTGTTTTGGAGTAGACCCATACCCATCCAATTAAATTGGGTCTCTTCATCTTCGACCTAATACCCTTAACGAGAGCATCAGCCCCCGAAGACACCGCCGCCCGCCTGCATCCGATTCTCGATCAGTGACCATCAGCCCCGAAGACGCCGCCGGTCTGCAATCCCGATTCTCGATCAGCGACCATCGGCCCCCACGCCGGCAGCTTCTCCTTTTCCCCACCATCGGACCCCGAGGCTGTGGAAGAAACCCACCTCTCGCTCTTCTCGTGCTGGTCTCGATCTCCAGGTTTGTCCCATCTTCTTCTCTTCTAGATCTTGCCCCCTCTCTGTTTGTACTGAATGATTTGATTGATGGTTAGTTCCTCACCAATGTTGATGTAATCACACTGCTAGTTTGACAGCGGCAGTAGTAGTCGTAGACACGCACTGGAGCTCCTTGCTAGTCCAATCTCTGTTTAGTCTCTTTCCTACTGTTTGATATACTCCTGAGATTTGCTTTCAACTGAGAAAAGCCTGCTTTTATGATGTTAATGTGCTCCAATGACAATGCTTTTGTGTTCTGCTCGTTGGTGGAAATGTTACAGGAGGAGATTGAAAACAAGATAGAAGTTGTGGATGCTTTGGCACTCAGGCTTCTTCAACGGTTCAATCACTCAGTCTATGGTTGGAAAGAAGTTATCCTGTCACTCGAGCTTTCCTGTATGGTAAAATTTTGTTTCAATCTCGTGCTTTCATTTTCGACTCGAGAGAGCACGAAATCTTACAATGTAATCATAATGAAGCCTCCTGCATTCTCAAGAACCTCAAGGGCAGCTAGCTTCCTCTGGTTTTTTGTGTTTAATAGTTGGGACTTGGGAGTGTATGAGCTACATTGATAGAATGAGCATATGCATAGAAATAGTTCAGCCCTAAAGTGTACAAATTTAGTTTCCACCTTTACGTGTGTTTGGGGTTGGATGGTGCTATAGCTTCTGCAACTCCTTTTATTTTATATCTCTCACAAGGAGTGGCCTATGTTGGGCGAAAGAGATGAACCCATTTTCTGTAAACTCGAGGTGGGTTAATGGTCAAAAGCAACAGCAGCAACTGGCAACTTGGGTTTTATTAATTGAGTTGGTATATCCAATCCATGGCCAATAATGCAACCAGCTTCTATGGTTTATTGGTTTTTGAAGGAGACTGTAGACCACAGAAGCTCATTGTTATCATTCTAATCCTTTTTCTTGTTCCTTCTGCAAATTGAACAAGGATTGTAAAACCAAATGCAATGGTGTACTCTTCTGTATCTGTTTCTTGTACACAGGACCAACTGCAACTCTGTTGTACAATGCATTAACTTGTGCATTGTCCTTTTTTCCCAACAACAGCTCAAGGATCTGTTTCTGAAATTGTCATCCACTGACGGAACTCTTTCAACACGTGAGCATTTCATAGTAGTCTTGGTGTCTTTGGGCTTGTTTTCCAGCGGAGAAGGAATTGGCTGGTCTTAGAACTGAAAGGAAGGTAGTGAGTAAAGTTTTTGTAGAGAAGAAGGGGAGACTTACTAAGCTGCTCGAGGATCAAGGTAAATTCTAAAACTCTGGTTGCAGATAAAATCTCTCATGATTTGAACCCATCTTGGTGTACTGACTTTGAACTCATCAGCATAAATAGTTTATATCTTTGATGTGTCTTATGAAACTGTAAATTGCTTCTTGGATTAGAAATGCATCCCTTTATTCATATCTTTGATGTGTCTTGTGGTAATACTGGTATGTTATGTTATTCAGGTTAAGTGAAAATGGCTTCAGAAATAGATGAAACTATTGAATTATCTGAGGTTCCTGAAAATTCTCATACAGATTCTGGTGAAAGCAATAGTGAAGCTCCTACAGTAGTTTCTAATGGCAGTAAACAATTGAGGTCTCATGTATGGAAATACTTTAAGAAAGTATTATTTAGAGGAGAGTTAAAGGCTCAATGTCAACATTACAAGAAAATGCTTTCAGCTGTGCATGGAACTACTCATTTAGACAAGCACTTGCGAAGATGCCCTAAGATTAAGCACTTGTATAACTTGTTGAAAAAGAAGTTAGGTGCTAGTAGAAGTTCCAGTCCATATATCTTTGACCAAGAGAATAGTAGAAGGGATCTTGCCAACATGATTGTCTTGCATGGGTTTCCACTTGCTGTGGTTAATTATGTTGGTGTAAGAAAGTTTGTAAGCTCTCTTCAACCTGCATTCAAAATGATTTCAAGAAACACAGTTAGAAGTGACATCTTGAAGATCTATAAAGAAGGGAGGACTCATGTTATGATGGAATTGGAGAGAAACAGTAGTAGAGTAGCCATTACAACAGACATGTGGACCTCAAACAACAATAAGCGTGGGTTTATGATTGTTACTGCACATTATATTGATGATTCATGGAGTCTTCAGAATCGAATTTTGAGATTTTGATATGTTTCCTCTCCTCATACAAAAGATGTGCTTTGTGAAGTACTTTTTGAGTGTATGACTGCATGGAACAT